GGCAGTAGGAGCCCCGAGCCGGCAAGGGCCTGGCCTGGGGAGGCTCACTGAGTCATCGCTGGGCTCTTTCCTCTCTCCCAGGCCACAGTGAAACCTGGACTGATGGGAGCATCCGGGGACAGGACTCCGGGGGGGGGGGGGGGGCATATCTGGAGCAGAGATGCAGCCTGACTGACCTGTGGCCACAGCTGCTTCCAGAGCACCTGCCTGCTAAGCTCTGGTCCTGAGCCTGCCTCAGAGCACAGAATTGCGGCTGCAGCATGAAGGAAGCCCCCTTGAGTAAGCCCCCGCGGCAGTGCCCCCAGTTCCACACTTAGAACCTCAGCTGAGCGGCTATATTATGCACCCACAGTCAATTCCTTATTCACTTTATCTTCCATTCAGCTGTCCCAATGTCTGTTTTCTCATCCATCTGTCTGTCTGTCCATCCACCCATTCACTGAAGTACAACTCCTATAAAGCATTCACCCATTCATTCAACGATTTGATTACTTGAGCATATCCTTTTTGCCGGGCACATTGTCTGGTTTAGTCCTTGGTCAGATGCCAGTCCAGTCCTGGTAGGAAAGGCATGCCTAGCTGGCAGTGTGGGTGAGTCTGCCACCTTCTTCCTGAGAGTTGGTCTTTCTTAATAAGGGAGAAGGGAGAGAGCAGAGACTGGGAAGACTTGCATACACACTTGAGCCTGAATGTGAATGTGCATGTATGCGTGTGTTAAAAAATAACGATAAAACCTGATTGCAAGCAAATGCAAGGCATATATGGACTTTCCTAACACTGTGACCATCTAACCATCTCTAGGGAAGCAGAACAGGAGTGATGGTCCCATTTCACAGAGGCAACAGCTAAGGTTCAGTCTGTCGGAATTCACTTGCCTGGAGGTGCAAGGCGATGCTGCCTCTCCCAGACATTGGCTCACATCCTCCCTATTGGGAGAATCAGTTAGTCCTGTACAGTCACAGAGGATTTTGCTAAAACTTCAGTTAAAGGGTTTTCCTGTGGCCCTCATCCTTTCACTGGGGCTGGTTCCTTTCTGTGTGCCTGTCTGTCTGTCCACTGGATGGAGATACTTCTGGACAGGCAATGTCAAACTCTGTTCGTCTTCCCCTTCCCCCTCCTCCCAGGTACTGGCATACACATAGTACAGATGCTCCCTAAATGTGACTCACTGCCAAGTGACCTGAGGTCTCCCGGACCGTTAAGAACCAGGGGGCAGGGGGTGGGTGCTTTGCTCTGCCATCACCTAAGCCCAACGCCCCCACCAGCTCTCACCTGCAAACCATCAGTAGCCTAACTGGTCTCCGTTGTAGGCCAGCTCGCCTCTATATTCCGCCCCCTCCCCTGACTTGCTACACTTCAGAGTCAGCAAACCTTTGAATATGGAAATCTGAACTTCTCAGACCTTCCAGGATCCCCACTGCGTTTAGGGTAAAATCACGGAGCCTGCGAGCATCCTTCAGGGCCCTGCGGGGTCAATCCCGGCTCTAACGCTACTTCCCCTTCACGTTCCAGCCATGCCAGAGCTCTTTCCCTCCCAGAACTCCCCAAGTTCTCTTTTGCCTGTTGGCTTTGGAGGTGCCCGTCCCTCCTCCTCGGCGCCCGCCCGCCTTCACCTTGCTGGCCTCTCCTCTCCTTCGGGTGCTCTCCTTTCCTGGCGCTCTCCTCCGCTGGGCATCTCCTCCAGGGACGTCTGCCCACGGCTGAGTCCCCGCCTAGCGCACAGTAGGCAGGCTATAAATATCTCTTCAGTGACTGGCGGGAGGACCCTTCAAGGCTCCTTCGTTTCCCTGAGGGTGAGGGGAACTGACCCTCCTCTTTCCAGGACCGACAGCTTTAAGTAGCTCTGACGGACACCCGTGCAGACACCCCTCTCGTCCTCTCCAAGGTTGTGTTTTGCCAGACTCGTCTGGGGCTCGGCCTGGATTATAATTCATGAACAGACACAGGGTGCCTCCTGGGTTTCAGTTCTGAGTGTGCACTTACGCAAGTCCCCTCCATATCTTCTGGGGCATCCATATCTCACATCAAGGGTGGGAATCTATGGTGGGAGTTGGCTTCCAGTTCTGGCTCTGTCACCTGCCACTGGGGACAAGGGACTTAGCTAGCCACCAACCTCAGTTTCTTCATCTGTAAAATGGGGCTGCTAACAGTGCCTACTTCCCAGGGTCGTTGTGAGGAGTCAACAGGTTCCTACCTTTAAGGCACTTAATGCTTGGTACTTAAGGCACTTGTCACAGTTATGATTATCAGATGGAGCATTCCCAGGGAGTTAGGACCTGATAAGCAGGGCTCCCTCTCTATAAAAACTCAATTTCAAGTATTACTCATCAGAAGCCTTTTTCCTCAACTTCCTTAAGAAATTCCAAGAAGTTCATGGGGTTCGTGTTGAAGTCAGCGATGGCTATTCAGTGATTGGCTGCGGACAGGGCACTGTACTAGGCTCCCAACGCAAAAAGATCAGGAAGACCTACTTCCTGTTCCAGTGAGGAACACAGACCCACGGAGACTCGCAGTTGAGTGGTGGCCCACGGAGTGAGCAGAGGAGGGGATTTCAGTGGCAGGAGCAAGGCTGCTTTGGTGCCTGGGGAACCCTGGGGTACATGGAGAGCGGAAAGGGAAGAATGGCCAGGCGTGAGCTCTGCGGGTCAGGAACTGGCTCTACAGACCTGTAGACTGAGAGCCTTCTCTGCACTAGACCTGGCTGGGCTGGGCTGTGGTAGGCTCATATCAGACCTAGACAGAGCCCCTGCCCTCCTGGACCAGAGTGGCTGTCCAGTGGAAGAGACAATGACCAGACAAGAATGAATAGATTCCACGCCCCTCTCACACCCTCCTGCTCCGCCACCCCACCCCCACATCCCTGGCAGAGCTGAGATATCCAGGAGCCCGCCAGGAGGTATCCTGGGAGTTAGCTCTTGTCCTTGGCCTGAGTCTCAGGACCCCTAGCGGGGGTGTGGTCTCTGGAGATGGTATCTTCAGCCAGGGGGGCTTGAGACTGCATCTCCCCTCCCTTATTCGGCAGCACAGCCTTTTAAGGGGGTGACCCGCTGACCTCTATACTGTTTCCCCTCACCCTCCAGCTCCAAGTCCCTGGGGCAGGAGCTTAAGGCAGGAGGGCTCCGGAGGCCTCAGGTTTAATGCAGATGTGTGTGTGTGTGTGTGTGTGGGGGGGGGGGTGGTGGTGGTGGCGCAGGATTGAGCCTTCAAATTCTGGGGTCCCCTGGGCACTCTTGGGGAGCTCAGTCAAGGTCAGGGGCCTAAGTTAGGTGCATGGGAGTGCAGGGCCGAGATGCGGGTGCCCGGCCCAGGAGAGGGAGGGGGCGATGGGCAAAGGGTTCAGGCGAGGGAGCAGGCGGGGCACTGGGAGTCTAGGATGCAGGATGGGGTTGGGAGGGCGAGGGGGTCCTGCCGGTGCAGGGGCGGGGGATGGCCCCCGGGGAGGGGCACGCTATGTCTTTAAGAGCTGCCTGAGCGCAGGTTGCAGCTGCCTGGCCAGCCCGAGAGACAGCGGAGATTCATTACCCGCCGACACAATGACCATTGATGGCCCCGTGGCGTTATTCAAATCCAGTACCAATTGCAGCCGAGCCCCTTTCTCCGCGCCAGGCCCGTATTGTTGGAGCGGCCCACTAAAAGCCCGCCCCGGCCCCGAGCCGCCAGAGGCGCCCGCTCGGGCTCAGCCCTGCGCCTCGCCAGCCCGCCGGCTCCCAGCCCGGCTCCCCGGGCGCTGCAGGTGACCCGGCGGCGCATTCCAGAGCTCCCCGCCGTCCCAGCCACCGCCGCCGCTGCCACCGCCGGCGCCCCGGCCGCGACTCAGCCACAGGGAGGGAGAGCGCCCGAGCCGGTGCGTGCGCGGGGCTGGGCGGGGGCGGGAGACCCACCGGTGCAGCAGCCCGGACCCCGGGTTCGGAAACGCGACCCCGCCTCGGTTCCCTGTTTTTCGGATTCCCAGCGAACCCAGGGAGCCCAGGCTGGGGGCGGGGAGAGGGGAGTCGGGGTTCCCCGGGCCTGACACAGGAGGCTCCCCCGACCAGGGGCGGCGCAGAGACCCAGCGCGGGCTACTCTAGGGACCCCGGGCCGCGATTGAAGGAGACGCACGCCGGGGGCGACGGGGATCCCCACGCAGGGTCGGGATCCGCATGCTTGCTCGTCCACCTTACCGCGGGATGGGCCGCGACCGCCGAGCGTCTGCGAGGTCCGCGCAGCTCCGGAGATCTGGTCCGGTGCTTTACAGGAGCGAAGCGGAACCCCGCAGGAGACCGGGGCCCTGAACTCAGGGGCTTCGCCACTGATTGTCCAAACGCAATTCTTGTACGAGTCTGCGGCCAACCGAGAATTGTGGCTGGACATCTGTGGCTGAGCTCTGGGAGCGACAGGGCCGGGAGCCGCAGGGAACCAAGCTCGGCGCGGGCGAGACCCCTCGGGTGGCGGCTGGCTGGCCCCAACGCGAGGATCGCGGCCCCGGCCGGGCGCGCAAAGGAGGGACGCCGATCCCTGTCACCAGCGCCGCCATCCTCCTCTCTTCGTCGTCGTCCTCGTTCTCCTCCTCCTCTGCGGGTGACCAGTCCTGGCTGGCGGGGTCCTCCAGCCGATCGCGTCGTTTCCCCCTTTTTCAAATTTCGGCCGGGAACGAAGCTGGCACGACGCGGCGTGGCCCAATTGTGGTCCGGAGAGCTCGTCCTCGGCCGGAGCCGCAGGAAGTCGGGGGCGAAAGGAGATGCCGGCGGACTGCGCTTGCTAACTCGTTTTGAATTGATTCTAACCTAGCCTCCCCTGCCAATACCCCCCAAAAAAGCCTGAACCGACCCCTAAATCCCCAATAAACCGACCCTTCCCGCCAGCTCCTCCAGACCGACCGATGGGCTGAGCTTCCTCCGGCTGATGCTGGAGTCGGAGAAGCGTCCAGAACGATGCGCTCCAGCCGGGCAATCGCCTCGGCTTGGGAAACAGAACTTGGAAAACGAATCCTTTTCATTAAAGACAAATCTTCCGAGATAGTGGGGTTTATTTGTTTATTTCCTCAAAAGTGGTTTCAGGAGTTGCCTTGGCAGGGGCAACTAGGTGGTGTTGGGTCTGAGCCCGGGTCATCCATCCCTGACCCTTAACGCGCTCAAGCTGGAAAATGACCCCAAATGCTGTGGAGTGTGGCCCTGGCCAGCTTCAGGGCACCCCCTCCTTGCGTGGAGAACCTGCTTTCCCCAGCAGCGCGTCTTCCTGCCCTACTCCTCAGCAGTAATGCACTAATTGGGGTGCTGGGGAGGAATGGCTAGCCCGTTTCTACCCTTCTCTCCCCAGTGCAAGCAGGAAAGGAATCCTCTCACCCAGTTTCCAGGACTTGGAATGCTGTGGAGGGTGGGTAACGGGGGGCACTGTAAAGCCCAGTGGGGCTGAAGTCCTCCCCTCCCTGGAGGAAGGGACTTCCAGGTTACAAGAAGCCAGACAGGCTGAGCCCAGTGGGGCTGAAGTCCTCCCCTCCCTGGAGGAAGGGACTTCCAGGTTACAAGAAGCCAGACAGGCTGATCCTTAAAGTGAGGCTGTCCCTTGCCCTGTTGCTTAACATGGAGACCCTGACCTCAGCACCTAGAGCGGCTGGTCACACAGCCTCTCCCTCGACAGGCACCTGCACCCACAGCCTCAACATGGCTACCCCCAACCCACACACACACCCAGAGGGCCTTCCTCCACCTGCAGCAGTGCCAGGGAGCAGCTCACCAGCCAGGGGGTCATCTGTCCCCAAGGCCTTGAGACAGCACAGCCCCTAGCACTGCTAGGGCAACTGTTCGGCACTTCTGTCTCACTGCAGAGTGAGAGCAGTTCCACCTTAAATTATTAACATTTAGTGAAAAGCAATGTTTGGGGCGGGATGATGTTAATGCCCTGTTCCCCCCCACCCCCAGGTCTCCCTCCAGCAAACAAAGCTTTTTCTCCAGGTCATGGGAAGTGGGGCTCAGCAGTCTTAACTATGCCTCCTCCGTTCTGAGGCTGCTGGCTGCAGCTTGTGGGACAAAGCCTGGCCTCGGACAGACGGGTAGGGAAGTGTCCTGGGACCCAGACTGGTCAGCACAGACAAGCCCTGCCACCCCTTCTCCAGATGGCCCAACCATATCATCCCTTCTCAGTGTCTGGGTAGTCTGGGTTTCAAGTCCTACTCTTTTTTGGGTGAAGGGCAGTTCTGAAAGCCCTGGGGTGAGGACAGGGAGGGTGGGACCAGAGAAGAGACTGCCAGCTGGGGGAACATGGGGTCCCACCAGTTTCGGTTTCTAAGGATGAAGTTCCAGGCAAGGCCAGTAAACAACTTAGTCTTTTATTTGCCCAAGGCCAGCTGTTGCAGGCACTGAGGCCCCAAGACTTCCAGAAGGGATGGGGGTGGGGGGAGTCACCCTGCCTCCCAGGTGCTGCCTGCCCCATCCTGCTTCCTGCAGGAGATAGGAGAGTAGATAAAGTGTGCCCTTGCACCATCAAGTATCTCAATTTTGTATGTGTGTCAGTCACTCAGTGGTATCCGACTCTTTCGACCCCATGGACTGTAGCCCACCAGGCTCCTCTGTCCAAGGGATTCTCCAGGCAAGAATACTGGAGAGGGCTGCCATTTCCTTCTCCAGGGGATCTTCCCAACCCAGGGATCGAACCCACATTTCCTGCATTGCAGGTGGATTCTTTACTGTCTGAGCACCAGGGAAGTCCCCTCAGTTTTCAGATATAAAAAGTCCACTGTCGTTGGGGAGGAAACTGAGGCACATAGACCACCCCCCCAGGCCTCTATTTGCCAGTCCAAGGCCTAGCGTACACCCTCCCGCTCTCCACCCCCAGCGGAATGAGCTGCACACAAGGCAGCCTTTTGCCTTGGGGGTGGGGAGGGTCTCAGGAGCCCATCTGGTGGCCTGTGTGGGGGGAGGCTGACCAGGGTCAAGGGCTGTGGGTGGGGGAGCAGGAGGAGGGGTGTGGTTGGAGGAGCAGCTGCTGTGTGTGTGTGTTGGGGGGGGGCGGTCGGTGCTGAATAGGGGACCCCAGCTGGGGTTCCATAATGATATCAATGGGGGACAGGCAGAGCCCTCTGCTGTCCAGATGGGGAAACTGAGGCGGAGGCTCCTCCCTGCTTTGAGAGGGGAGGGGCCTGCCGTCAGCTAGTGAGGTTCATTCCTCTTCCCCAGGAAGGCACCGCAGCCCAGGAGTGGCAGTGCCTCGTCAGCAGTCACTCAGGGAGACACAAGGAGGGACAGCAGCTGGTCACCTGGCCGCACAGAGTGGCACCGGCCACGCGGAGGGGCACCCTCCCCCATCTCAGCTGCTGGGAGGAGGAGTGCCGGCTCGGGCGCCTGCCTTCCCCTGCTCACGTGCCCGAGAAAGGCTCATTTTTAGCACCTGGCCTCTTTTCCCTGCCTGGAGGGAGCTCAAGGGACAAAGTAGGGAAGAAAGCAGCCAAGGGGGACAGGAAGATCTGGAAGTAGGGCCCCAGGGGACTGTCTGATTCTTCTGCTCTCCCCACCCCAAGGGGGCCCGGCACGGACAGGGGCCCTTAGCCGCCGTGCAGTGTGGAGATGAAGAGGACGCTGTCTTGGTCCTGAAGCTGGTAGTCCAGCTCACCCTGGTCCAGGAGAGAAATAAGAAGATTGTCAAGGGCACTTTTCCAGTTTCTCCCCGGGGTGTTGAGAGGGGAAGTGGGGGGCGGGGGCTAGCTGCTTTGAGAGGGGAAGACAGAATCTACCAGAAAGAAGTGGGTACCCTATCTGTTAACTAGCAAACCTCCAGGATGGAGGGCAGCTCACGACTTCCCCAACGACCCACGCCTTCCTCATTCAGGGTGGGAGGCTTGAGAAGCCACCGTCTGGACGCCAGGTTTGGAAAGAGGGTGACCCACCACTCTGTTTGGGCCTGATGAAAGGTCCAAGGCTTTCCTACCACAGTGGTGGGTTGGGGAGGGGTTGAGGGAGGGCTGCTCCCTGAGGTACTGACCAGCAGTTCCCAGTCGGCGTCGTTAACCAGCACCAGAATCCCTGGCCGCCTGTGGGAAAGAGGGTGGTGAGTAGCAGGGCGTGGATGGCAGGAGCTGGCAAGAGCAGGGGCAGAAGCTTAGATGTTTGGGCTGCAGAGTCTAAGGGGTAAGGGGGGAGCCTTTTCTCTGGAGGGTTCCGGCAGAGAACACCCAGGGAAAGGAGGCGATAGGCAAGTCTGAGGGCTGGATAGAACACGTGCAAATTCCATTGCCACCTCCCAGATCTGAGGCAGATTCTTTTGTTTCCCTGAGCATCAGTTTCTTCATCTGAAAACAGGGTAAATCATAAGTGACTTCCTCACAAGTTCCCCGGGACGGATGAAGTGGGATGTCACGTGGGAGCTGCCATGGACCCACTGGCAGCAGCCTATCCTTCCAGGGGTCTAACCTCACTGTCCCAGGCCTCCCGCATGTGCATCCTGGGGAGGGGACCATCTCGGCTGCTATGAATCAGGGAAGGCTGCCATGGCCCCCGAGCCCCTGACCACCTGAGAGCCGCCCTGCCTGGAGTAAAGCAGGGTACAGGCACCTTAACCTGGTTCCTGCTGGCAAGGACCCAAAGAGCACTGCTGTCCTTGGGGGTGACCGCCACAGCTGCTGGACCACAGCCTGGGCTCCAGGCCCAGGGCCTGCTGGTGAACCTCTGCTTCCAGGCAGAGGAACAGGTCCCACAGGTGCCCTGCCCACTTCTGTGACGTATGAGGATGGCCTTGTTGTAGGGGTAAAGTGACTTCTTGGCACACAGAACCTGGATCCTTTCCCAGGAGGCTGAGCTGGGCCTGAGACAGACACAGAAGCTTTGGGCCAGGCGAGGGGTGTCCTCAAGTGAGCACAAATGCGCACGTGTGTGCGCATGCATGCAGTGACCCCCTGTAACCTGAGACCTGCATTGTACAGCTCAGTATCTGAGGCACACTTCAATTTAATTTCCATTCAGGGAAAACTGAACACTCGGTTCCTCAGTCATACTAGCAACATTTCGAGGGTTCAGTATCCTCAACGCCTAGCAGCTACCACACTGGATTGCAGAGAGAGAACATTTCCATCATTGCAGGAAGTTCTATGGGAGGGCACTGTCTGTCCCAGGTTGTCAAAGAATAAGAGAGACTTTGGGGAGCATCTTTTCTCAGTGCTGCCTGTACAGAGAGCGCAGTTGAGCCCAGAGTAGGGAAGTCACTTGAGCAAGGTTCTTTGGCAAGTTTGTGGCATCCAGAAGGCAGGACCTAAGTTTTTGGGTTTTTTTTTTGTAAATTTACCAATCTCCTGACCCGGACTTTGGGGAAAAAAAACCCCAACAGTCCGATGTAGTAACAAGAAAACTGAAATAAACTTCAACAAAGTTGGGCAGAAGCAGTCCTTCCTTGGAGGGCTAAGAGGAGGATAAAGGGGAGAGGAGGACCTGGAGGAGGCAGAGTCTGAACCAAGGCCAGGGGTTCAAACCTCCTTCCCTCAGCCCGCCCTCCTTGGGGAAGGGAAGAAAGGGACTCACACACTATCTCCTTGGATGAACAGCTCTGGCCGCTCTTTTAGCAAATTCTTCTTGATCCAGACAAGGAGGCTGCGGATGTCCCCTGGAGAGGAAGGCACAGAACAAAACTAATGTCAAATTCAAGTGCTTTCTGGCCCTGAGGGCCTTGCCTGGAGCAGGAGGAAGTGAACCTGGGGCTCAGAGGGCCTCTTTTAGACCTGGCTGTCAGGGCGCCTGGACCTGTGGTTTCCAAGGTGAGGAAATGGACTTGGAGAGACCAGACAGGTCTTCTCAGAGACAGTGGCACCTGGCATTGCTGAAAGCTGGAAGAAGAGGTAGCGGGGACTCAAGGTGGACAGTGGGAGGAATAGTCACGTCTGAAAGGGTAGACACACTCACGAGGCCTAGGAGATGGTCTGACACTGCCAGGGGCAGGCTTCTCAGAGAGCCCCTCCACCTCTATCTCCCCAGTCAGTCCCAGATGGGAAGCATTCGGCTTTGCTCTTGGAAGGTCTGCATATATTTCCCTTTGTGAGGGAAGAAAAACAATTGCTGAGCCGATAACATCAGTTAATTTCCTCTGGCAGGAGAGAAGGATCCTTCACTAGCCAGAGATGCTGACAAATCACAGTCCCTCCGCTCCCCCTTTGCAGAGCCCTCCAGGTCAGGGGCAGCTACCCTGAGGAAGCGAGAGGCTGAGGGTCGACAGGGCCTCTCCTGCTCGGCTGGACACTGAGACCTGCCTCTGTGTGGTTCTGGGGCAGCCACCAAGCGCTGCACCTCATCTGGAGGCTAGGGGCCACATGTCCCCAGGGCCACCTCTCCTTTTCTGGGGGCCAGGTCCCAGGCCACGCACACTATGACTCCCTCGAAGGCTATGGCTCTCAATGATCCATTCCTCAAGCAGAGCATCTCCGAGGCTGCAGGAGTTTTCTCTCCCTGAGAGGACAGCTAGTCTCTGGGAAGCCAGCAGGGGGCTGGAGGTTAGCCATGCCCCTCCTGAGTCAGTCTCAGAGGGGGCTGCTGTCCTGGGCCTATGTCAAGGCAAAGGCCAGGGTTTCAGCTGGAGAAGCGCCCATGCAGTGCCTTGGTTTCCCTGGCTGAAGGCGGACTTCCAGCACGCAGGCCAGGAAAAGGCTGCAGGTCAGGAAGGGGCCCAGCTATCCCCAGGCTAGGCCCAGTGCGTGTTACCCACAGCACCAGCCTCGGGCAGGGTTTTAAGGCACTCTCACGAGCCTGCCTGCCACCCCCTCGGAGGCAGGCAGGCCACACCCTGCAAGGCCCGGTTCACTCTGCCCTGTGCCAGCCCCCCTGGACCGTCGGCCAGCAGAGCACAGGGCCGCGGGCAGCGGGCACGGGCTGAGCCTGCGCCTTTCCATTTCAATTCCTGCTTTTAAACAAAGCCCACCGGAGTCCTCAGGGTCCCTGGAGCGGGCAGGGATGGGGCGTGCTGCCTCCAAGTAGCTGTAGTCCATTTTGACTCCTGGCTGGCTTCCTCCCTGAGGCCTGGGTTTCAGAGGTTTCCCCGTGGCCTCCATCTTGGCACTGTCTGGTGGGCCGCCAGCCCATACATCTTGTGGCCGCTCGATAGAGCTGCCGGGGTCTGACACATCCGTCAGCCAGCCCCCGCGGGCGGGGCTCTGCCTGTGTGTGCCGGGCTCGGAGGGCCTGGGCAGGGCCTGGCCTGAGGGCCACCAGCTGCACCTCCACAGCCCCCACTGGCCTGTTTCGAACCAGGACTCCCTGGGTCACCGCCCCGGCTCTCTCTAAGCGGGGACCTGTGCTCCGCTCTCGTGGGCTGGGGGCGGCAGGGAGAACTAATGGTCATGTCGGGGTCATCCCAGTGACGGCAGCGTCATGGCGTCCCCAAAGGCTGGGCCGAGGGGCGTCTGCTGCGGGTGCTAGCTCATTTATCATGATGCTCCTCTTTGCTGAGGTCATTCCCTCCCTCCTCTGCGCCCCCCAGGCCTGCTCACATTCTTGATAGCCTGTTACCATGGTGAGGCCACCGCATCACCACCCGTATTGTTCCCCCATGCCTGGATTTGGGGGTGGGGAGAGGTGGAACTCCCGACTCCCTTCGCAGGCTGCAAGGGCCACTTGGCCTGGCCTGAAACACACCCCCAGGGACATCTTGCTAGGCTTGCTGAGGCCCAGACAATATGCAAATAGCCTCCAAGCCAGATGGTCGGCTTCCAAAGGCGCCCAGGGGAGGAGGAAGGGTTAAGCAGAGTCAGGGGCTGGTGGTGGCTTGGGGATGGCTCCGGGAACCTCACTGTCACCTTCCCTCTCTGCGTCCTCCTGCCTTCTGTGGCTTCCCATGGTGGCTGCCCTCCAGGGATCCCAGGAAATTGCTTGGGAGACAAATATTTACTGAGCAGCTACTATGTGCCAGGTGCCGCGGAGATGGCGGAGAACAAGATAGACAGAGAGCCTGCCCATGTGGAACCACACGCCATCAGGGGAGGTGGACGGTACTTCATTAGTCGTGACAAATGCGTTCTCCTTTGTGTGGGAGCAGGATGAGTTTTTCTGAGGGTGTTCACATTGAAGCTGAGGCCCCAAGGATGAGTCGGGTGGATGGGGGGAGCATGCCAGGCAGAAGGAAGACCATATGGGAAGACCTGAGGCAGGCTGGAACTGGCAGATTCAAGGTGACAGAACTGAGAAGGCTGGAAGGTCAGCACTAGATGCGGCCAGGGAGGCAGCCTTGGCTGGACTACGCAGGGCGTGCGGGGGCCTTGAGAAGGGGCTGCTGGGGAAGAGGGCCCCCTCCTCGGGAGCCTGAGCCCTAGCACACAGCACAGAACCTCGCACACAAAGCGCCCTGGACATGTTTACTGAGCACATGGGTCTGAGTTCGGCTGCATCATTTCCTAGTTAAATGACCTTGGGTAAGGAACTCTCTGTAGCTTCCTTCTTTGTAAAATGGGAATGGTAAAAATGCCTCTGAGGGGTGTTGTGAGGCTCAAATATTTAAGATGATCCATGGAAAGCTCTTGGCACTATGCCTGGTATAGCGATGCTGTAATTCTTCTGTGAGCCAGAGGAAGAACACTTCAGTTTCTCCTGCTGCCCCCTTTAGATGTTTAGACTCCTCAGAGGCTCCCTGGACAGCCCTGGTGGAAGGACTCATGCTGAGGGCACGCGGCACCAGGGCAGGGAGATGAGCACCCCAACCCCATGTCAGGTTTCCTGTGCAGGAGGCCTCGGGACCTGGCCTGCCCACTGTGGGAAAAGCAAGTAATGGGGCTGCTGCTCTCATGGTGGAGCGGTTATGAGTCTGGGTTCTGGAGCTGGAAGGCCCTGGGGTGTGCGCTAGATGGCCCTGGGTACAAGTCACTTCGCCTAAGTCTCAGGGCCATCCTTGGACAAGGGGGGGGATAATAACCCAGCTCTTGAAGCCAGTGGCAGGCCTAGCACGGTGTCAGACAAGACAAATGTCCCTGTTCCTGCTGTGATTCAGGATTCCTTATCCCGGGGGCTGCCAAAACCTTCCCCTAAAGGCCGCTGGGAAAGGGCACCATGCATACCCCTCTTAGACCTACAAAGGCTCCCACCAGAATCCCATGTCCCAGTGGATCTGTCCTTGTCTGGGGATGACAACCACCCACTGTGGCGCCTCCCAGTGGTGTCAACTGAACTTCCGGTCTCATCTGATCTCACACAGCCAAACCTCATCCAACCTCTTCTTGCAAGACTTCCAGGGAGAGCTTTTCTCCCAGCCTGAAATCTGGCTTCCGGTCCCTCCCACCCACAGAGCCTAGCTGGGCCTGGGGACCACCACGCCAACGATGCAGACTCAGGAGAGCCAGTCCCCTACGGCTTCTCTCCCCCAGGTTAAGCGGCTCTGGTCCCCACTGAGTCCACCAGGCTCCAGGATAGGATCCTCTGGGAGTCCACCCCAGGCCTCAGCTGAAAGGGGAGAAGAAAGAGCTGGGATGGGGGGAGAAGAGAAGAGAGGGTAGAGGGAACATCAGAGGGTCCATTTACAAGTGAATGGGGGTAAGAATGGAGCAGTTTGTGGGCTAAACTGGCCTCAGAAGGAGGTTTACAGATGTGCGAGGGGACGCTCCTCATTGTTTAATTAAGCAGAAAGTGGATCTTTTCAAAAGCAATTTTGCACAGGGACTGGGAGGGGTGAGGGGGAGAGGAGGGTGGTGGGGAGGGGATCAGCAAACAGGCCCCAGAGCGGAGAAAGGAACAGCTGGCCCCAGAGAGGCTGTGAAATGCATGCTAAGCAGTTTAAAGCGCCTGGGAGCTCCCGAGCTGCCCCTGCCCCTGCCTCCCGCGCCAGCCTCCCTTCAATACAAAGGCAGGGCTGAGGAGCAGGGGAAGGTGAGGCACAGTCTCTTCCTGGGACAGGGGCAGGTAAGGCCCAGGCCGGGACCATCAAGGTTTGGGATTTGCTCCAGGCCCCTGACCAACCCTGGTCTGCGAGCCTTGAGTTGAAAGCATCCTTGATGCATTAAAAACCAGCTCTTAGTGGCCAGGGCCCAAAGCCGGTGGGTGCCTCCCAAACTCACCACTCAAAGCCTGTTCCGTGGAGGTGGCTGTTAAGAATCCCCACCTCCCTGCACAGGCAGCTGCTCAGTGGATCAATGCACCCTGCCTCCCAGAACCATGTGCTTAGATCTGGAAGCAACTTTTCCAAACTGCAGATGTCAAACTGATAACCAACTCGTGTGTGCTTGTACTTGGTCGTGTCCGATTCTTTGTGACCCCATGAACAGCAGCCCGCCAGGCTCCTCTGTCCATGGGATTTCCCCGGTAAGAATACTGGAGTGGGGTGCTATTTCCTTCTCAAGGGGATATTCCCAAGCCAGGGACTGAACCCACGTCTCCTGCACTGGCGGGCAGATTTTTTATCAATGAGCCACCTGGGAAGCCCAATAATTAGCTCAAGACAGACTAAATCGAGTCCAACCTCCTGCGTTTCAGGTGGGATAAGAGGCCTGCAGAAATAACTAATTTGCCAGCACATGCTGCCAGGGTGCCTCTCTCGCCATCTCACCCTCTTTGGCATTTCCCAGCCTCTCATTCCAAGTTGGCCGGGTTGGAAGCTCTCTGCTGGCCCAGGACCCAGGGCCCTGGAGTCCCCTTGTTTGCGAGACTTGTCACAATCCATAATCTTACGGCCGCCGTTTTCTCTGCTGGAGTCTCCAAGACCTGCTTGGCCAAGTGGCAGCCCCTGGGCTGGGAAGGCTGCCAGATGGCAGATCTGGGCATGGGCTTGGGGAGCAGTGAGGCTCTCCCCGTGGCACCAGGCCCTTGCCCTCCTGTTGGGCTCCGTGTGCCAGGGTAAGACCTGGTGGCTGCCAACCAGCTCTGCCGCTGTGATGTGACCCACGCCTCTGGGCACAGCAGGGCACAAGTGGGAGCCAGAGGTAAAGACCCACAGCCAAGGGCCCAGAACTAAGCACGTGGGCCACTTCCGCTAGCCTCCCTTCCTTCCATTTCATCCCAGAGAGGGGAGGACAGCCCCCTACCTGCCCCCGAGGCAGTAGATGAGGGATCCAAAACCTGGGTCTTAGGGACTTCCCTGGTGGTCCACTGGTTTAAGACTCCACATTTCCAATGGAGGGGGCTTGGGTTTGATCCTTGGTTGAAGAACTAGGGTTCCACATGCCATGTAGTATGGCCAAAAGATAAAATAAAAACAAAACAAACCTAGGTCTTAGCCAGCTTCCCTACTTGAGTAACTCTGGACAGGTCACTCTCTCTCTCTGTGACGTTTGGTTTCCTTGTCGATAGATAGTATATACTGGGGTCATCATGAAAACGGAGATCAGTAACTGCTGGAAGCACGGAAGTGTGAAAACTGGAGAATATCCTGCAGGTCTGAGATGTGATGTGGTTTGGGGAAGTTCTTGGGATAAATGCTGATGGGATAGTGGTACCCTGCAGGATGGGGTGACCCTGACATTGGCTTCTGAATCCCAACTCTGCCATGGCAAAAGCGCATGGTTGGGGGTAAGACCTTGGACATCTCTGGGTTTGGGTTTCCACTGTTTTTTTGGGGGGCGGTTCCACTTTTTAAAGTGGAAGTAATGATAGTTACCACCTAGGAATCTGTGACAATTACTTGTACCACCCTCTGGGTTCTGCTGACCCTGCCAAACTCAGCCTGTGCCCAGGGACAGGCCTTCTGCCTGGGGGCTTCACAAGTGCCGTACTCTCTACTTGGAATGGCCCCACGCACCTCTGCTCTCCCTCCAGTTTGTTAGGCTGGCTTCCTTCCATTCCTCAGGGCTTTAGCCTCAAAGTCTTCTCTCTGTTTTTCTGTGCCATGAAGCATGCAGGATCTCAGTTCCTGGACCAGGGAGTGAACCCGGGCCATGGCACGGAATGTTTGGATTCCTAACCACTAGGGCACCAGGGAATTCCCTCAAAGACACTTCTCTAAAGAGGCCTTCCCTTACCACCCTGTTGTCTCCTTCAAAGCACCCTTTTGTTCTGATGCCAGTGATGACCACCTGTGCTGCTGCACATCTGCGTGTTTACTTCTTCACTGCCTGTCTCCGCTTCCGTTACTCTGTTAGCTCCATCAGGGCAAGAACCGTATCAGTTTTGCTTAAGATCAAACTTGCACAAAGGAAAACACGTGTGTGCGCGCGCGCGCGGGCTCACGCATGCATGTGAGAGTGCGCGCGCGCGCTCAGTAGTGTCCAACTCTTTGCAAACCCCTGAACTGTCCAGGCTCCTCTGTCTACGGAATTTTCCAGGCAAGAATACTGGAGTGGGTTGTCATTTCCTACTCCAAGGGTATCCCCGACCCAGGGATCGAACCCACATATCTTGCATCTCCTGCACTGACAGGCAGATTCTTTACCCCTGCACCACCTGGGAAGCCTGGCATAAAGGAAAACACGTGTGCGTATTCAAAAACATGTGTGCCAACCACAGGAAAGAATAAAGTACTTTCTTCTACGACTGGTACTTGGTGAGCATTCAGTCAATGAATGAATGAAAAGGACTGGAATTATTAAACTTGGGCACTTTCATGTGGAGCAAAAGCAGGGGGAAACAAACCCTAACTTGTGATGCTTTAAAAACGTCCTGGGTAAGTCTTTAAGGCTGCATCTCTGAGAGGCTTCGGACAGCTCCTTGTTTCCTCCCAAGGCTGCAGAGCCATCTGTCAAACTAAGAAACCATCACCTATATGATCTTGGACCTTCCCCCACCAGGGACACGATCCCCCAGTCCTGACGTTTAACCTCAGCCTCATGCCCACACCCAGCTCCAGGGAGCAGTGCCCTGTGCCCTGGCCTCTGAATGTGGCACAGAGACCCGCCCTATGCCACTGCCCTCCAATCCCAAGGGAGGGTCACAGACAGCCTTGGTAGTGGGTGAATCTGGGCAACAACTGACACCTGGCAGGTGCACGTCCAGTCCCAGAAGAATTCTGTCAAACCTCACTTGACTTTCTCTACTGCCCACCTCCAGGAACCTCATTCCCCTGGCTCCTCATACAACTGACTTCCTCTTCTTCCCAGAAGTATCTCAGCCCAAGGTGAGATGGGCTCCCATTCCTGAATGTTCTGCTCTTGTAAAGATCCACTGCTAGGGCTGCAAAGCCCCTCCACAGTGGCAGTGTCCAGCCCCTGCCTCTAGGCTACGCTGCTATTTACCCAGCTGGACCTCTGGAAATCCTCCGCCCCACTTCCCCCAATCTGAAGGCAGGGTCTGTCTCCCAGTGCCTGGTACATGGTCTGTGGCATGGGAGGTGCTCAGGGTGTGTTTTCTAAAGAAAAGACGAACAAGTATTTGAATGAACAAATGGAAAAAACCCTCTGTCTCCCTTAGTTAACCTCCCCCCTCCAATCTCCTTGACTGGACACTTTTCTTCTCATTGAAATTCATTTAAGTCCATCTGCAGTGTTCCATTCTTGACAAAGGTTATCTCCTTTGTGAGGACATCCCTCTGCAGCCATCCAGTGATGGCAGAGGTGCCTGGTACAGCTGGCTGACACCTTTTAGCAACCCTGAGAGATATGGATTACCATCTCCACCTTTCACAGATAAGAACACGGAAGCTCAGAAAGGTGAGGTGACCAGCCTAAGGTGCTAAGGGGATTCAAACTCAAGTCTGAATACAGAACCTACACTTGGAAGGATGCAGTGATGCCATCTCCTCCCTACAAAGCTGGCTGACTCTGGAGAGGATGGAGGAGACAGCCTGGTGATCTCTCTCCCTTCCTCCCCACAGGCCAGGAAATCCTAACCACTCTCACTTGACTGGGGCTGAATGACCCTGTAGAGCACCTCCTGCTCAATGGTGCTCAAAGAGCCCGTACTCACAGGGTTCCTCCTGTCCAGGCAAGGTGACCTGATGCTTCTTCACACCGTCAAACAGGAGCTCCGCACCACCTCTGCAAAGGAGGGCCAGAGAAAGAACCTCAGAGACTGAAAACTGAGGAGGCTGGCACCAGATGCCCAAGAGATTCAGAGACCAAGGTTCAGGAACACCGTGGGTACCAGCCATCAATTCTCCAATGTGGCTTCTTGATATGGTAAAGCAGGACAGAAATAATGTTTATTAACATTTAAGTACGCAAATTTTCAGACTCTGGTTTTGACTCCTCTGCTTCTTCAAGAGGTAGCTTAGCACACAGGAGCAGAGCACAGGCCCTGAGGTGGAGACCAGGCCCCACCCGGGCCTGATTGGCGAGACCTTAGGCACGGGACGGCATCTTCTCAAGCCTCAATCTTTCCACCTGTAGAAGTGTTGAGGAGCTACCTCGTGGCACACTGGAGCCCCTAGGTACAAGGTCTCCCAGGGCCAGGTGACACTCTGAAATCCCCCTGCCTGTGCCCCGTCCCCACCCCTGCTGCTGGCCTGGTGGGCAAGCCAAAGTGCGAGAAAGCGAGAGAACCCCACTGGGCTTAGCAGTAAGCTTGCCCTTTACAAGAACATTCGTCGTCTCATTTCACCTTCATGGGATCCCGGGGAAGGAAGGAGGGAGGCAGATATTATTAACGCTGACCAACAGAGAAGCAAGTTGGGGCCAGGAGAAGTTAAGTGACTTGTCCAAGGTCAGATAGGCAGTGGCTGAACTAGGATTTGAATTCTAACTGGTTTCTGGCAGAAACAACTAAGACTCCCCAGAAGGTCAGGAAGCCCCTTGAGGGCAGAATCTGGCTCACTTCTGGGTGCCAACACCTGGCTAAGGGAAGCCTGGGCCAGCAGAGAGGCTCCAGGCCAAGTGCAGATGCCAGAACTCATGGTGCGGACACTCAGGCTCTTTCAGCGCTCCACGCTGCTCCTCCCCCGGAGTCTCGTCTCAGACTTCACGTGGATCTTAACTGAGAAGGCCTTAACAACTTGGGACGGGTGTGATGACTCCCGCCCCACCACCCTTCCCCAGTGCCAGAGAACAGAGGTGTCCTGAGACGGTCCACTGGGAGGCGAAGGCAAGGCACGCATTGTCATGAGGGAAACATGGGGCGACTGTCATCCAAACAAGGTCACGCTTTGTTGATGCAGAAATGTGGAGGGGGAGAGGAGGCCCATCTGTGGCTGCGCGCAGGGCCATTTCAGCTGCAAGCCCATACAGAGCCTCCATTTATCCCCTTCCAAGAGCCCCGCTCTCTCTTGGGTAGGGGCTGGCACATGCAGCAGCTGGGGTGGGGGAGGGCGACAAGCAAGGGGCGACAGGAGTTGGGGGGTCAGAGGAGTGGGAACTGGAAGCGCTGGCACCCAAGCAAACAACCCAGATTGGCCAAACCTGGTGGTGCCAGGCGCAGAGGCCAGCGCCGTTTTCCCTTCACAAGCAGATAAAGAACCAGTCTGGCTCAGCGATTGACCTGTCACTGCTGGCTTTGCCAGTGCCCGAGGGACGGGTTGGCATTTCTGTGGTCAGAACATCTGGAGGGTAGGAAGGTACACGCCCAGCCTCTGAAGTGATTCAGAGAGACAAGAGCGGGCCCAATTTGGTCCCAGAAGAAAACCAAAGTCAAACTCTCGTAGTTCCTACAGGATTTGCGACTCAAATGCAATTAAGGCATCACAACCCAAGATACCTTGTCTTTCTTCCACTTCCCAGCTCTTGATAGGAGGTGTCTATTGGTACCAGTGACTGGTACAGACACTCTTCAAATGGTCTTCACTTTTTCAAGTTTACCTTCATCTTTTTATCTGAAATATTTTACTTTTGTTCATTTCTCCTCTACCTGTGGGGATGCAAGTTCTGCCTAAAACAGGGCCTGGTACACAGCAGGCACTCAAGAAATATTTGCTGAAATGAGTGAAAATGCCCATTTCCCCACTTCTTCTCTGACCCTAATGGCATTCCCTTCCTTTGCCAATACCTCCTGGACTCAAGGAGAAGGAAAAGGGAAAAGGAAGTGGGACTCTCACATCTAGGCTGCAGTGATACAACACACATCTGTGTTACCTACACTGCATCCTGGGTGACTTGAGAAATTGCTCTGGCAGGATGAGGATGGCAGACCTGGTCAGTGATAGGTGGGAGAAAGCAAAGAGCAGCCTTCCAGAGCGTCTACGAGAACTGGTGGGGCTGCGGGGACACAGCTGCTCACGGGAAAGGGGCAAAGTCCCAACCCTTTGGAATCTTCAAGGATCAAGGTGGCACTCAGGGACAAAAGGGAGAGCCTGATGGGCAAACCGGTTTCTCTGCAAATCTACTTAAGTTCAGAGTAAAGGGAGAAGGAAGTGGGCTGAGACACAGAAAATTAAAGAAAGGCCAAGGGGAGAAACAGGCACTGACAGAGACAAAGAGAGAAGGTCTCTGGGTTTAGCCTACATATTGGGCATTCCTGCTTCCCAAGAAGCTGCAGTTCTCATGGGACCCTGTGGCGGTGGGTGGTGGGAACACTGTCTTGCCTTGCTGGTGTTCACTAGTGCTCTTGGGGTAAGGGAGACAGAGATGGTGGTGCCAAACAGGAACTCCAGAAAGTCTGTAAGCCCTGGAGGGCAAGGACCACGTTTTCCTCATATGACTTCCCCACTGCTGCCAGCACAGGACCTGACAGACAGAAGACATTTCTGAAGACAAATGCCACGTCTGACTCAGTGAACATGAAAGGTAAATTGGCTGTGGCCGTGGTGGTGGTGGTTTAGTCGCTAAGTTGTGTCTGACACTTTCCAACCCTATAGACTGTAGCCCGCCCGGCTCCACTGTCCATGGGATTTCCCAAGCAAGAAATACTGGAGTGGGTTGCCATTTCCTTCTCCAAGGGATCTTCCTGACCCAGGGATCAAAATTTCGCAGGTGGATTCTTTACCACTGAGCCACCGGGGAAGACCAAGCCAAGCCGACTGTAGATAAGCTTCAACACTGGTAATCTGTAGCTTGTCTGTCTTCAGCTCTGCTGAGGCCTGTCAAAACAGCAGGGACCTCCTGGAACCTGCAGGCCATGGGGGACATAGCTGGGCAAAGGGTCAATAAAGCAAAATAGTCAGGTGGCCAGACTAACACAGTTCTAATTGGATCCATGGAGCCAGACAATATCATCAATTAAAATGCAGTTAACATTCATGAGACTACCCCCTCGTAAGGGACAGCAACGCTGAACACTGGAGGGCATGGACAAAGTTCTATTTATCTTTGTATCCTCTGTGCCTGGCTTGCTGCCTGGCACATGGTAAGCACTCAATAAATGACTGGTGAATGGACTATGCAATGAAGGGAATCCATGAAAGAAACTGGAGGCATCCAATAGAAGGAAAGGCATTTATAGGCAGAGGTTTCCGATTCCCATCCTAGACTTTCCCTTTCACATAAACCTTGGCTTGTTTATCTTCACACACATAGACAAATCTAGTCCCAGATTTTCCACATGACTCTAGAAATTATACCGTCCATCTCTGAACATCTCAGTGTCTCTGCCTTTTCTCTAAGCTTTGCACTTTTTTTTTTCCAGCTCTGAAATCACATTAAAAACCTTCTGTCTGTAAGAAGTAGAAGAGAATGCCTGGAGGAGACTTCCTCTTTGGTCTGTGTTTCTTTTGTTATTAGCGTGTATGCCCCCATTCTGCACTTTTTATCTTGAGCATACTATAGTGGCACAGAGGTAAAGAATCTACCTGCCAATGCAGGAGACCCAAGAGTCAGGTTCGATCCGTGGGTCGGGAAGATCGCCTGGAGGACATGGCAACCCAGTTCAGTATTCTTGCCTGGAAAATCCCATGGACAGAGGGGTCCGGTGGGGTGCAGTGTATGTGGTCGCAAAGGGTCGGACACGACAGAGTGACTAAGTACACGCACATGTACACGCACTAAATCTGTACTGTCAGGGTTAGACTCTACTACTGTGCTACCTAGCCCCATATCCCCACCTGACTTAAGACCTGCAGAAGGCACTCAGTAAGTTTACTAAATGTAGCGGAAAGGGTTCAGGTTTGTTTAACACCCTCAAATCTTCGGAAAGGTTGGTCCTTCTCGTTCCTAGAAGCTCAGATGCCAGACACACGGGCCTGCTCCAAAATGGAGCTGGCAAACAAGGCCGGGAGGCCTGCTAACCGTTACGCCTTTTGAGTCCCGTAGGGCGCAGGGCATGGAGGAGTGCCAAGAGCATACCTCCAACTCCTGGGTGTGCGCATCTATTCCCGGACATACGGCCTCGTCGCCCAGGGAGACCGAACCTCTCAAACTCTCCCAGGCGGGTGGCGTAGCTCAGGGAAGTTGCCGGGTACCTCGGCGATTCGGGGGTGACAGGCCCCAAGGCAGAGGGAGGGGAGTTATGCCCGACGACTTCAGTCCATCCCCACGACGCCCCAGCTCTGTGACTCACCCGAACTCCACCTCCACCGACAAGGGCGCTGCCATGTTGAGGAAGCCGAGGGCACAGGAAACTCCCCTCAACTTCCGGGCCTACTGGCCCCCGTTTCCGGTTGCCGCGGACGGAAGAGGCGGGGCCGGGGAAACTCTCCTCTTCAGCTATTGGAGGAAGGTTTGGAGCAGGAAGCTGAGGCCAGAGGACCGTGGCCTCTGTTAAGGGGCGTTTTGGTTGGTCGTCCTGTTTCTTTTCGGGACGGCGCTCAAACAGCCAGGGCGGCAAGCGACTGATATCAGCCACAACTCGGCGGAGGAGAGACCTGGCATCTTTGCGCTGTGACCGTGAGCCACGTTACTGTTTAACTTGCATTAGTTACCAAATTGCCTTCTGTCAGCACACCGCTTGGATGAACCCGTCCACTTGTCTTGAATTATCAGTGGCATCCAAATATTTACTTCCAGCCCAGAAATCTCTCTCTTGAGCCATCGACTTGCAGTCCAACCTCCTTTTCGCCGTCGACTTGGATTTCATTCATTCAGCAGATACTTATTGCACGTCCTCCGTGTACCTGGCTTTTTGGTCGGTGCTAAAAGATGCCGGTGGTGAATCGGATAGGCAAGGTTCCTGTCTTTAGGGCACTCACAGTCTCGTGGGGGAAACGAATCAAACAAACATACGAGTCATGCTAGTAAGTGTAAAATCTCAAACTGAAAAACGATCCGGCATCATAAGGACTTCAGAAAGAAAATGGGCTGCACTGGACTTGAGCTGAGCTCTAAAGCCTGAGTCAAGCTAAGTAGGTGGATATGAGGAGAGAAAAGCCGCATTCCACCGAGAACGGAAAGTGCAAAGACTCTGGGTAGGAGGACATGCTGGAGCACCGGGGGAAGGTAGAATTTGGGGAGCAGGGGGCCTATAAGACACGAGGCTAGACGTGTAGGCAGGGGCCAAATCGTGACTTGTGAGCCAGGTAAAAATTTCAGTCTCTTATCCTAAGAGCAGTGGTAGGTAGGCCTTGGAAGGGTTTTGGGGTGTGTGTGTGCTTGTGACATTATTAGAACTGTGTTTTAAAATATCCTTCCTGGGACTTCCCTGGAGGTCCAGTGGTTAAGATTCTGTGCTACCACTACAGGGGGTGCAAGTTTCCCCCATACTACGTGGGGCAGCCTAAATAAATAAGTAAAGCATTCTTCCTGACTGCAGTGAGAACTGGAAGGAATAGGGAAGGAGATAGGGAGACTCTGGAACCTGTTACAAAAGCCCAGGGCAGCTAAACCACACTTCCAAAATTGAACTCATCGTTGGTAGCTTAAGGTAGTGTACCCTGGTGGTTAAGAGTGGATGTAAGGATGTGGTCACTGCTAAGGGCTCAGAGTTCAACGGCCAGCTTTACATCCATGTCCCACCACTCCTCATCTGTATCTTTGGTTAAGTCCTTTAACATCTGTGCCTCAATTTCCTCGTCTGTGCAAATTAAGATAATAGCAGCCCCCATACGGTTGTCGTCAGAACTAAATGAGTTCTTGGCACAGTGCCTCGTTTCCTAAAACAGGCTCCCATGTGTTCCCCATCTCAAGGATACCACTGCCATCCATGGAAACACCTAAGCAAGAAACCTTTGACATTGTTCTTAATTCTCTCCCATATCCAGACAGTCACCACGTTTGGGTTTGGCTCTAAGCTGATTTTGCAGCCACGTGTTCTTCTACCACCACCACCTCTCACCTGCACCTGCTTCTCTGGCCTGCCTGCCTCCCACCTCCCTGCCTCTGACCTGACTTTCTTATACAGTTCAACTCCACAGACAGCTGTGAGTGCCTTCAGTGTATCGGGCAGTGTTCCAAAGCGCTGGCAAAATGAGGAAAGCATCAAAAAAAGAAAACCCTGTGGCCAGTGGAAGGAACCCACCTTCACTGTGCTGTGTGAAACTCAAGTTTTCTCAGTCTGTAGAGAAGGCTTTGGGACCAAATGATCTCTTAAAGGTCCTTTCAGTAAAAATGTTCTAGGGAATTCACTGATGGTCCAGTGGTTAGGACTCAGTACTTTCGCTGCCAAGGGCCTGGGGTTCAGTTCCTGGTTGGGGAACTAAGGTTGTACAAATATATGTGTATAGTAAGTGTCAGTAGCTCAGTTGTGTCTCAGTTGTGACCCCATGGAATGTAACCCACCAGGCTCCTCTATCCATGGAATTCTCCAGGCAAGAATACTGGAGTGGGTTGCCATTCCCTTCTCCAGGGGATCTTCCTACCCAGGGACTGAACTCTGGTCTCCTGCATTGCAGGCAGATTCTTTACCACTGAGCCACCTCTCACACACACACATATATAGTCTAAGATATTTCCACTGGCTTCTCCAAGGGCTGATGTCTAGAAAGCTTGCCTGATTCATCTTAGAGCCTTAGCTCATAGTAAGGAGCTTTATACATTGTAGGGGTTTGGTAAGTGCTTGCCGAATGAATGAATGAATGAATGAATAAGCGAAGACATATCAATTCCCTTCTTAGTCACTCACTGGCTTCTCTTTCCCAACAAGGTAAAGGCCTCTGACTTGAGGCCACCTTTAGTTAGGCCACATAGAGTTGAATATTCTCTAACTGCAGACTGCTGCCTGCTGAGCTGGAATGGGAGAGCTGGAGCTTTTGAAAAACTTCATCCATTTGACAAACATTCATTGAGCACCTATTAAGTGCCAGGCCCAGGGCTGGTGCTGGGAACACAAGGGTGGACTTTAAAAAAAACCAAGGGGTCCCTGCCATCCTGGGGCTGATATTTTGGAAAAGACACAGATGTGAAAATAGACTGCACAGTGCAATCAGTTGTTATAAAGGGGGAACGTGGGGACCTGTGGGAGATGAAAGAAGATCCAGTCCAGCCCTGGGATCAGGCAAGGTTTCCCAAAGGAAGTCACATCTAAGCCCGAGTCCCAGGAAATTGTGGGAGGTGGAGGTCGCAGGAGAGGACAGGTAGGGAGGCCAGAGGTGTTCCTTCCTTCCCAGAGAAGTGAGAACCCTTCCCACATCACTTCTGGGTAGGTCAGCCCACTCTGAATGCCTGGCTCTCACACTGAGAAAGTGCTTCCTCCGACTCCAGCCTACCTAACTCAACCTCCTGTTGTGTGCGCTCTTTGCGACCCCATAAACCCCTGCCAGGCTCCTCTGTCCATGGGATTTTCCAGGCAAGAATACTGGAGTGGGTCTCCTAAACTGGCAGGAGGATTCTGTGCCACCTGGGAAGCCCTCAGCCTTCTGTGCTGTCATTTCCGTCATGTCCTACGCTTTCTGACCCCGTGGACTGTAACCTGCCAGGCTCCTGTGTCCATGGGATTTTACTTGAGTGGGGTGCCATTTCCTCCTCCAGGGGATCTTCCCAACCCAGGGGTCGAACCTGCATCTCCTCATTGCAGGAGGATTCTTTACTGCTGAGCTACTGGGGAAGCCTCAATCTCCTGAAGAGAAGTGAAGTGAAAGTTGCTCATTTGTGTCTATGCAGCCCCATGGATTGTAGCCTGCCAGGCTCCTCCTCTGTCCATGGGGATTCTCCAGGTAAAAATACTGGAGAATTCTGCAGGGGGTTTTCCTGACCCAGGAATCGAACTAGGGTCTTCTGCACTGTAGGCCGATTCTTCACCAGCTGAGTTACCAGGGAATCCCTTCTCAACCTGCTAATCAATAGCAACAACGTACTCATTCAATGAGTAATGACCCTCAACTCTGCACCTGCCAGGTGCTTCACATGCATGACCTGCTTGATTCCTCGCAGGGGCTATTAGCCTCTGTTTTCAAATGTAAAAACTGAGGCTCAGAACCTGTGACTTGTTCACGGACCCCCACATGTCAGGCCTTAACCCCAGGCTGTCGTGCCTTCAGGATCCCTGACCCTCACTGCATCCTGTTGGGCTCAGCTCACTCAAATGCCTTCCCCTGGGACCCATGCAGAAGAAGGGCGTGGACCCTAACTCCTGTCCCTCCAGTAGGCCGGCCAGCCGGGCACTGGGCTCCATCCCTTCCGAAGCTCCGAAGGGAGACAAAGGCGGGGTCTGCGGGGGAGATGAGGGCGCGGGCGCCCCCCTGCCCGCTGCCCTTTGTCTCCCCGCCTGCTCCCCTCGTGCGCCCCGGAGGCTGGGAGGCGCCTCTCGCAGGCTTCCTCCTCCCATTCTTGTGCTAATTGGGTGTCAAGCTGAGATCAGTGAGAAAGGAATCTGCCCTGGCTCGGGTTAAACTGCCGCCAAAGACGAGGGCTGAGCCCAGAATATCATTAGGCTGGGAGGAAGCGGGGCCCCCTCCTCCAGCAGAGGGGCTGGCCACGCATTCAGGCTCCTTTGAAAGTCGCTTGGTCGCCCCTTCCCTTACCGCCAGCTCCTCAATAGGCCCCTTGGCGGTATTTAACCTTCTTCCCAGGAATTGAAAGTGATACGCCAAGCGCTGGCCTAGGCAGCCACTTGCCTGTCCAAGGGCGGTAGGACCTCCGGGGATGCTCAAGGCAGGCCTCTGGCAGCCTCCCTGGGCTCAGATTGCAGATGGGAATACTGAGACTGGGCAGGGCGGTGCCTCCCAGCGCTGTTATTCACAGGCCCTGTGGTCTGAAGACGAAAGCCTCTCTGAGCCTCCGAGTATATGGAATGGGGATAAAATAGTAGCTGCTTTGTGTTACGGATTTAATGATGATCAAGTGCCTGGCGTCGCATCCAGCACATAGGAAGCGCTCCACTCCTGGTGGCTGTTAGGTCAAAGGAGTGTGTTTGGGCTTATTGAAGGATTTCCTAGCAGAGCTCCCAGTCCTCCAGGTGTGCAAGGAGTGCCCGCAACAGATTCACTTTGCATACCCAGCCTGGACTCTTCCCCAGCCTCACCCCTGCAGCCCTACAGGCCCTTCTTTCACCTGCCCTGCTCGACCTGACCTTTCACTGCCCCTTCTATCTGGGCCATTCTTCCCTCCTCCTCTTCTTGAATGACTCTACCTTGAAAAGCCTGTGACCATGAAACACAACTTCCTCACCTCCTACCCCAGCCAAGACATGGGGTTAGGGTGCAGCTTAGCACAGACCCTTTGCTTCCTGACTGGTTGCCCCTTCTCCCCAGCCCCTAGACAGTGGGCTCCCTGAGGGCGGATCTCACCGTGTCCCCCCAAGCCTGCCCCCTGCATAGAGGCCTTTTGAATCTGCTGCGCAGATGAATGGACACTACTTTGTAAACTGTGTAGCCCACCAGGCTCCTCTGTCCATGGGATTCTCCAGGAAAGAAGATGAGTGGGTTGCCATTTCCTTCTCCAGGGGATCTTCCCGACCCAGGGATCGAGCCTGTGTCTCTTGTGTCTCCTGCATGAGCAGGTGGATTCTTTGCCAACTGTCACCAACTGGGAAGTTGAAGCACTATATAAATGTCAGGAAATGCCCAGTGAACAGTAGCTCTTGTGAATTAACTTCACAAACACGTGTTGAGCACCTGCTGCAGGCACGGGAGATGACTCACAGCCATGGTCTGGGATGAGCAGAGGCAGACAGGAGCTGCAAGGCCCAGGGGCCCACCAGCTCCACCCTTCTTGGAGGGGCTTGGGAGAGGGGGCTGGTACAGAAGTGGGAAACTTAGGCGTAGGCTGGGATCTTAACACCGAAAACATGTCCTTTTTTTCCTTTTAACTACCATGTACCTCAGATATCAGCACCAGTTCCTGGGCTAGATTTCCAATCACAGTCTCATTACATGTCCACAACTGTCCTGGGGCAGGGATTCCTGTTGTGTTTAGTCACTCAGTTGTGTCCGACTGTTTGCAGCTTCAAGGACTGTCGCCCGCCAGGCTCCTCCATCCGTGGATTTCCCAGGCAAGAATACTGGAGTGGGTTGCCATTTCTTTTTCCAGGGGCTCTTCCTGACCCAGGGATCGCACCCGTGTCTCCTGCATTGGCAGGTGGGCTCTTAAAACCACTGAGCCACCTAGACCACCACTTATAGGGGAGGACAGAGGCTCAGCCTGGCCAATGGACTTGAGAGCAGGCCTAAACAGGAGCTTTTGACCACTCCTCTGTATTGCATCTTAGTGACTGTGTTCAACCAAAGGGAAGGAACAGGCACCCCTGGGGGCTCCTTCCCATTGGAGAGCCCTCCCATTGCTGAAGGTTAAAGACACAAAGTTTCACCATCAGTCACACCCAGCCCCACTGGAAGCCCAATCAAAGGCCCACCACAGAGTGCTCTGGGCTGGGTCCCTTGCCTGGGGGTCACGTGGGGACTCTGTCCCTCCTTCCCTCGGCAGATTGTGAAGGGCTGGATCTGATTCTGCAGGACCCACGCGCCCTCTGCTGGTCATACTCGGGCACTGCGCCCTTGCCTGCCACTCCCAAATCCCACCAGGTATCATCTCCCTCCAAGGGCCAACTCCAGCTCTGCCGCCCCCTCGCTTCCCCCAAGAGTGGCATCGGAAATCCATCATCTTTCAAAGGTCACCCCCCACCCCAGGAGGTACCCCAGACTTATCCTGGCCACCTATCACCCAGTCAGTTGCTGGCTGGGGTGTGGCTCACAGTTGGCTCTACAAGCATGCGTGGCATGGAAGCTGCCTTCTGCACCAAGGAGGCGGCAGTGGAGTGGTGGGAAGGGCATGGGGCTGGCATTGCAGTCCCAGCACTCACTCTGCAACTCCAGTCAAATGATGGACGGTGGTGAGGGTTAAATAGTGAAGCCCTGGCGTACGTGCTCTGCCTGTGGCCCTGGCTTGGGCTGAATGGTCTCCCCCCTCCCCCACTTCCCGCTGGGCTGAGCACTTCTAGCCTGGGTGTGACACCAGGGATGGGCTCCAGGGGACAGCTGGCCCTACACTGGCATTGCAGACTCACCAGCTCTGGGAAGATGGCTCCAGGAAGCCTTCTCAGACTCCACCCGGCTGGCTAGGCCTGCCTGCTCTGTGGCCCGAGAGCCCCCAACCCCTTGGGAAAGTGCAGCCCTGGCAGAAGGAACAGCATGAACAAGAGTGTGGAGCTGGGACCCTGCGCCGGCCTAGGGCTTCCTCCCTCCGTGGCTCTGAACGGCCCATTCCTCAGCCTGGCTCCCTTCGGCTATCTGGATCCTCCCGATTCACAGAGGAGACAGTTACTTGCCGAAGGCCACAGGCTCCTAAGTGACACCTGGCAGGGCTCAGGTGGGAACCGCCCCTCACCTGAGATGTGGGGACCGTGGCATCTTACCTGCTACATCCCTCGGTCTAAATGAACGAAGGAGTGGGGGAGGGATGAATGGGGCATGGGCTGGGGTGAGTGTGCACACAGGCTCGGGGAGGCAAGGCGGAGTTTATTGGCTCCTGAGTGCCCCACGCCCCTTCTCCCCTCACAGCCAGGCCAGGAGGAGATGTGGACAGACCAGCAAAGACAGAGAGGCTCCGCCTGAGGGACAGCCAGGCAGCCGCCCAGAGGATGAGAGGGGTGCCCCGTCCAGGCTGCCTGCTGCAGGGTGGTCCCCTCCTGCCCCGCAGGGCTGAGGGACACTTGCGTGGTCCCAGGGCCTGGATCCTCTTCGGATGTCCGATCGCCGGCCCTCCCGGCTTCCTGAGTCTGGGGGCTTCTGCCCTGGTTCCATTTACAAGCTGCCTGTTCTTTGCCAAGTGCTTGGAGACCCTCTATTTCCCTTTGTCCTGACCCGAGACATTACCCCGCGGGGCCTAGTCTCAGTCTCAGCCTGAGGCCCAGAGACCCCCACATGGCCTTGAAGACATAAAGTGGATCTGAAGCTTTCACAGAAAGCCTCAGGGCGGAGCGGGGAGGTGGCAGTGAGTCCCTTGGCAGTTTTGAGGGGTACAGGTCGGCATCTCGGGGGGTGGTGCCAGGCCCTGCTTGCTTTGGTCTGGCTTCGCCCAGGACCCCTCCGGGGTGGGAGCTGGGGCTCTAGATGCAGTATCCGCTGGCCCTCAAGAGGGACTCAGGGCCAATCACAGCTTCTCCTGGCCTGCCTGGATGCGAGTGTAGGCCTCTTGGTCCAGTGGGACGTAGCAGCCCTTCCGGGCATCCAGGTAGAACAGCTGGTCTTTTACAACTGTTGGGTCAAAGCCCTCCTTCCGCAGTTCTGTCTTCTGTAGCTTAAAGGTCCCTGAGGGAGGGAGAAGACAAGTGGGAGAAGGGTCAGAGGGTGTGGGGCAGGGGTCCGACCTCCAGGAACCTGTCCACCTGGGCTGAGGAGGGGCAGGGAGGAGGGCTGGAGGGAACATAGGCGAGGGGAATCGTGGGAGGAGGGACACAGCCCTTTACAGTTTGCAAAGGCTTCATCCATTACCGAATGCACCGCTCCTCAGCAGCTCTGGCAAAGGGGAGGGGGCGGAGGTACCTACCCCTCTTTGTAGACAAGGAAACTGAGGCCCAAAGAAGGGAAGTTATTTGTCCAGGGCCACGTGCTCAGTGACATCAGGCTGAGGGCAGGACACCGGCCTTTCCTGAGGGCTCATTTAACCTGAGCACCTCCCGGGTACAGAGCTGATCTCAGGTAATCTGTACCTCAACCCCGGGGGCGGGGACAAAACCCTATTCTATGGATTCTGAGATGCACAAGATTTCAGATTTCAGCATCTCTGAAATAGTTCGATTACCATTTTCCCCCTTAATAAATTCTATACCTTTCACTCAATGGTATTGGCCCCACTAGACAGATGAGAAGACTGAGGCTCAGAGAAGCACAGTTCTGGGCCAACGTTACACAGCTATTAAGAATTTGAACTCAGGTACAATGGATACCAGAAATGCCTACAGCTTCCTGTCTTGGCTTCTCTGTCATGTGCATCAGCCAATTCTCCCAGCAAGAGCTGGAGTCTTTCTCAACGCCTACTTGAATTTAGACTGGTTTTACAACTTACTCTGACTCAGAGAATGTGGCAGAAGCCACACTGTGGGCGGTCTGGGTGAGTCTAGGCCTCAAGGGGTGTTGAAGCTTCCATCCTCACCCGCTTGGGGGTGCCCTGAGACCAGACTGACCTCTGAAGGATGGAAAGCCATGTGGAACAAAGGGGAACCGTCCCAGCAAAGGCCACTTAGACAAGGTCCGTCTAGTCAAAGCTATGGTTTTTCTAGTAGTCATGTATGGATGTGAGAGTTGGACTATAAAGAAAGCTGAGCACCGAAGAACTAATGCTTTTGAACTGTGGTTTTGGAGAAGACTCTTGAGAATCCCTTGGACTGCAAGGAGATCCAACCAGTCCATCCTAAAGGAGATCATTCCTGGGTGTTCATTGGAATGGCTGATGTTGAAGCTGAAACTCCAATACTTTGTCCACCTGAATGGAAGAGCTGACTCATTAGAAAAGACCCTGATACTGGGAAAGATTGAGGGCAGGAGGAGAAGAGGATGACACAGGATGAGATGGTTGGATGGCATCACTGACTCAACGGACATGAGTCTGAGTAAACTCCAGGAGTTGGGGATGGACAGGGAGGCCTGGTGTGCTGCGATTCATGGGGTCGCAGAGAGTCAGACACGACTGAGCGACTGAACCGAACCGAAGTGGGTAGTCACTGGCCATGTGTGGCTATGTAAATTTAATTAAACACAATTTAAAATTCACTTTCCCCTTCACACTAGTCGCACTTCAAGTGCTCAACAGCTACTGGGAGCTGACGGTTGCTTTGTTGCAGAGCGTGGTCAGAGAACACCTCCATCACCGCAGACAGGTCTGTGGACACTGCTGCGGGGCAGACCAGCTGGGAGCCTCACGTGAGGGAGGCCACCTCACACCCAATGGCACTATTTCTTTAAAAACTTAAAATATTTGGGGGCCACACCCCAAGGCATGTGGGGCCTTGGTTCCCTGATCAGGGATTGAACCCACACACCCCCTGCACTGCAAGATGGAGTCTTAACCACTGGACAGCCAGGGAAGCTGTTGATGACACTATTTGACCCTAGGTGGGGCCAACAGAAGAATGCTCAGTTGAACGTCACCCCAAATTACTGACCCACAAATTGTGAGCAAATAAGACACCTGTTCGGAGCCCTAAGTAAGCTTGGGGGCTGTCTGTCCTACAGCAAAGCCTGTCTGAGGCCTAAGGTCCAACAGCCTCCCTGTCCCTCAGGGATGCAGAAGTCAGTGGCCATCCAGTCCTCAGGGTGCTCGCTGTCTATCTGGACTCACCGCTTACCCTGCCCTTCTCTCATCTCCCCGTCCCCCAGGGCCATCTGCAGCCCCTCGGACACTGGCGGGCTTTGCAGGATATGAGTCTGACTGGGTCACTACCCTGCTCAGACCCTGCTGGGGTTCCCCTGGGCCCTCCCATCCCACCACAGGCCGCTGCCCACCCCTCACTGGCTCCAGCTTCGGGGGCCTCCTTTCAGTCCCCTAGCAACCAAGCACCTCCCTGCCGCAGGGACTCCGCACTGGCTGTTCCAGAGGGCCTCCTGTCCCCACAGAGTTCTCTCTCTCTCACTCAGGTCTCCTGCTGAACCGGAGCATCCTCAGGGGAGCCTTCCAGTCATCCCCAAGTCACATTCCCTTTCCTATCAGTTTCCTATCAGCACTGCACTCTTTTATCTTACCAATTCCTTATCCTGTGGCTGCCTCCTGCTCTGGAAACTCCAGGGAGGCACACAGGTCCTGCTGCAATTTGTCCCCTCCATCCCCAGGGCCTAGCACAGTGCCTGGAGCAGACCACCCCACTCAGTACTGGTTCCACTGACAATGGACACATCACCTCTCTCAGGAGGTGGCGTCAGCTCACAGCTAGGTCACGTTGCCGACCACCCAGAGAGGCTGTGGGGAAGGGCGAATGACAGCCAGCCGGTCTCCCCACAAGGGCCCGGCAAGGGGCCTGGGCTGGCACCCACCCATGATTTGGAGCTGGGCGTCGGGGGGGACACACCTGTCTTGTGCAGCTCGGGCAGGAAGCGCAGGAAGATGGGGCGGGCATACAGCGGCAGCTCCTTTTGCAGGAGCTGGGCTAAGTGCTCCAGGTCACAGCTGCCAGAGGAGCTGGCCACGGCGGCCATGCCGGCCCGGCCCTCGGTCCCTGGGGGGGTGGCAGAGTGGACAGTGAGCGGCTGGCTGGCCATGGCCCCGCGGGCTGCTCCGCACACACGTCTGGCCCCTCCCGCCTCTCGGGATACCTGGCACCTCGACGCCGTACACGGCCACGTCGGCCATGTCCAGCAGGCGGCTGAGCGTGCCCTCCACCTCGGTGGTGGACACGTTCTCGCCTTTCCAGCGGAACGTGTCCCCTGTGCGGTCACGGAAATACAGGTAGCCCAGCTCGTCCATCACCAGCACGTCACCTAGAGAGAAGTCATGTGGTGAGGGGGGCCCAGGGGCTTGGTGAGGGGAGGTGTTCCTGAGGGTGGGGCCCCTCAACCCCCCCTCCTCCCCAGGGGGCGGCAAAGGCCTCCGGAGAGGTGCCCACCCACCGCTGAGGTAGGCCTGGTCCCCCTTCTTGAAGACATCCTGGGCGATCTTCTTGTTGTTGGCACCCTGGTTCAGGTAGCCGTCGAAGCGCCGCAGGGGGTCTCGCTGGATGATGATGCCCACCAGCTGGCCCGGCTCACCTGTGGCCAGAGGAGGCAGGGTCAGGTCCCCCTGGGGTCTCCTTCATACTAAAATGCCCGCAGCAGCAGCCCCCAGAAATGCTCCCTTTCTCCATCAGCCCGGGAGCCCCGAGGGCTGGGAGCTTCTCAGTAACACTTGGTCACTGAACAAATGAAAGGGTGGTCAAGCTCAGTGTGGACGGCCTAACCAAAGTCAGCACTCCCCAGGCCCCGCTCTGCTCAGAGGTTTGCATCCTGTACCACGCCGCCTCCTCAGCACAACCACGTGCAGGAGAGGGACTCAGGCACAGAGCTGGGAGGCTTTGGCGGCTGGGGCTCAGGGTCCACAGCACAAATGTGCATGAATGGGCTGATGGGTGGATGGGATGGTGACTGAGTGGATGGACGCATCAAGAAATAAATGCCATGCAGCCCTAAGAGAAGGGCTGACTTCTGGCCGCAGATCAGAATGGGGCTCCCCACCCACCCACACACCCATCCCTGCCCCGTCCCCTTCCTGGGCCAGCCCTCCCACCCTGACCCCCAGTTGCAACCCTCGGGCAGACCTGGCTTGCAGGGAATGCAAAGACCGTCAGGGCCCCGGATCAGCTCCATGGTGTCCTCGTTGACACGAACCAGCCGGATGGGGTACACGAAGGACAGGATGCGGCTGTTGAAGCCACAGGCCCCCACCTGCGAAGGCCAAGCCTTGGGCCCGGGCTCTCCCACCACGGGCCGGAAACCGGACAGTCTAGGGGGCTGAGAGCCGGGGCCACGGCTCCCGCGACCACACTCCATGCCGGAAGCCCGCCCTCCCCTCCGCCGTCCGTGTCTCCCGTGGGCCCTCTGCGTCCCCAACCTGGGCCGCACCTGGCCGTCGAAGTTGCCCAGGCTGCAGTTGCACTCCGTGGCCCCGTAGAACTCGGCCACCTGGGGGATGTGGAAGCGGCTACGAAAGTCGGTCCAGATGGACTGCCGGAGGCCGTTGCCGAGCGCCATGCGCACGCGGTGCCGGTTTTCCGCCTCCCGGGGCGGCTGGTTCAGGAGGTAGCGGCACAGTTCACCGATGTACTGCACGATCTGCGGGTGGACCTGGCATGAGTCTGGGCCCTGGAGGCTGCCCCTACTTCACAGCCTTCCCAAGCCCCTACCTCTACTATCCCCGGGGCCAGCTGTGCGATCCCTTCCCTCTCCAGGCCTCAGTCTCCGCTTGTGAACAATGGGAACGCTGCCCCGAGTAAACAGCTGGCTGCCTTCAGCTCTGTGTCCCTGCGCAGAGCTGGTGGGAGGGGCGCAGGGGCGCCCCACCCCTTCCCTTCTCACTCACTGTGCAGTTGTACTTGATACAGTCATCCCAGAAGCGGGAAGCCGAGAACTTCTTCCGGATCACCACGGTCATGCCGTGGATCAGGCACTGCCCCATCCCCACGATGTTTCCTGAAGGCAGAGGGGGAACCCAGGGGTCAGGGAGACAGACAGGGGCTCTTTCCCTCCAGAGCCTCGTCTTTTTGTTTATTTTGGCCACCAAATATGTCACTTTATTTTTTTAACTATTTTGCACTGGGGTATAGCTGATTAACCAACAATGGTTAATGGTTTCAGGTGAAGAGCGAAGGGATTCAGCCATACATATACATGTAACCATTCTCCCCCAAACTCCCCTCCCATCCAGACTGCCACATAACACCTAGCAGAGTTCCCTGGGGCTATACAGTACTGAGTGAAGTAAGTCAGACAAAGGAGAAACATCGTATACTCCAGAGCCTCCTCTTGTACAGTCCAACCCCCTCAAAGACTCTCCTTTTCCCCTGTCCTGCCCCTCCAACTCTAACTGGTCACATCTCTTCCCAGTCAGACACCTTCCATGGCTCCCCAGTGCCTACGGGATCAAGTGCACACTACTTAGACAGTCCCCTGAAGCCTCTGGAGCTGGCCCCAAGCTCCTTCTCCCAAAGCTGTAACACTGCCATTCAGCCAGCCAGAACTGAGCTAGCCTGCCTGGCTTCACATCTGCCTGTAGGGGCACCTCCTCCAGGAAGCCTTCCTGGAGTTGGGCTCTTTTGAGTTGAACTCCTTGCTCCCTGCCCCTCCCCACACTCAATGCCCTTTCTTGCCTGAGAGTTCAGGGTAGGGTTCCCATCATTCAGTCTGCCCCCAACACACACACTCCAACTCTAAGCACCTTTAAGGGCAGAAACTATATTTAGTCCATCTCCGTCTTTCTATAGGGCCCCCAGACCAAGCAGCCAGGCTGTCCACACCCGTGGAAATGGACTGAATGGTCAGACCAGCCCAGGTGCTCTGCGGGACACCGCCGCACCCACCAATTATGCTGGTGTGGCCACTCTCATCTAGGTCAATGCCCACATCTGGATTTGAACCCAGATTTGACTCCAAAGCTTGTTATGTTTCTACTGCAACATGGAGCCTGCCAGGACGGGTAGGGCTCTGAAGGCTCAGGGGCAGCTGGGCACCGAGGGGGCGGGCCCAGGCTACCTGCAGAATGGTAGAGGGGGAGGCAGTCATAGATGATGTCGTCGGGCCGCATGCGGAAGCCGTAGTACACCAGGGCGGCCATCCGGTAATACCTGGGAAGGCAGAGGGTCAAAGTCTCCGTGGGCCTCTGGAAAGGCAGGAGGAGAGGCGCCCCAGGCCCCACCTCCCCAAGTCTCCCCTCCCAGGGCACCATCCCCTTACCGGCTGTGCACCACGATGGCAGCTTTGGGCAGCCCGGTGGTGCCTGATGTGTAGATGTAGAAGAGCTTATCTGAGGAAAACAGGCAGGAGCGGCTATGAGAGGGGCCAGCACAAGGCTGGGCACAGAGTCAGACATTGGTAGGTGTGTATCACTTAACACCCATTCCCAGCACACCTCCTCCAGGAAGCCTACCCTGATGACCCCAGCCACCACTACCTGCACTGGTTCCTTCAACACTCTTCTGAGCCCTCACTCTGTGCCAGGGCCAGGGTGACATCAGTGACTAGTATGAGCACAGGCCTTGCCTAAGAGCGAGGTGCCTGCCCAGTGGGACAGGAAGATGAGTAGGCGGGCATTTCCAACAGCGAGCACTGCGTGTTGGCAAGCACATGGCTTGCCAAAGCCCGGCAGCAGCACTGAACCCGGGCTCCAGGGAGGGCTTTCTCAGAGGAGGTGATGCCTACTGCGTGGGAGGTACCAGCCGCAGGCAGCGGGGCTCAGAGGCAGCTTTTGCACCAGCAACCCTGTCTTTATCCCTCCAGATCTGAGCGCCAGGACGGCACGTCACGGTTTCTGTGTGAGGCTCAGTCCCACCAGGCTGAGGTTCTGGGAGGTCAGGCATGCTACGGGGTGATGCCACATGTTATGCAGTAACTCTCATGTTACAGGGTGCCCACGGCATGTCAGCCCAAGGCTGGGCACCAGACTCAACCAGCCAGAGGCCCTGCCCTCAAGGAGCTTACAAAAGCACCCAGCACACAAGAGCCACAGATGGCAGAGTTCAACGATAATGACCCCAGCTCTCCATGAGACCTTTTCCAGCCCTCAAGCATAGGTTCGGTTGCCATCCCCAGTTTCCTGGCTCTGGGAACCGAGGCTCAGAGAGCAGCTCAGGTGTTCAGGGTCACACAAGGGAAGCAGTAGAGCTGGACATGAACTTGGCCCAGGCTCCAAACGCCGCCCCTCCCAGGCCATGTGGCAAGCAGTGGGTTCCACATGGCAGGCTTGTGGAGCGGAGAGGAAGAGAGGCGAGAGGGTCTGGAAGGCTGCCTGGAGGAGGGGGTAGGGGGCAGGGAGCCCAGAGCAGGGAGAGGATCACAACAGGTGCCCGCCCTGAACGGCCGCTGGGTGACTATGAAAGGGCTCGCCGTGGGCCTGAGCCCAGCCCACACTTGGACGAGGCAGGCTTCTGGGCTCCTGTGTTCCTGCATGCATTGGGCATCAACGAAGGCTGTTCAAGAACTGCATGTTCAAGAAGTGCCTGGCACTTTGATACGTGCCAGCTCATGCAGTCTTCGCAGTAAAAGCTGGGGACTGTGCTCATTTTCCCCAAATGGAAAAGGGAGGCGACATGACTCACTCCAGGTCACACAGCAAGTGTACAGAGGAACCCAGGCCCCGAGGCCCCCGCTGTGTCTCTTGGCCATCTTTGAACCCTTCTGTGGGGGTGAGGGGCTCACCTACGAAGCCCTTGTTGGGATGGCTGGGCTGGTGCTTGGGGGCATCTTCCAGTAGCGGGTCCAGGTGATTTGTGCCAATGGGCACCGCGCTGGGCTCCCAAGGACCGGAGCAGAAGAGGTTGAGCGAGGGGTCCAGGTTGGCATGGATCTCAAGGACAGCTGTGGAGGAAACAAGATAGATCCGCAGGCAGGCCAGGCTCTCCCCCCCGACCCGTGTTCTGGGGACCTCTACTCATGTGGGGCTGAGCATGGTGTCAGGGGACGCTGGCTGGGTGTGGCAGAGAGGTGGGTGAAGCGCCTGGGACTTGTTATAAGGAAGATGCTGAGAGAAGCAAGGGCTCCCGCGAGCGGCTGGCTGATCAGGTGGCGGGCTCTTTACATGAATGCTCCTGCTCACACACCTCAGGAAACAGGTACCAGTAACAGCCCATCTTACAGATGGGAACACTGAGGCCCCAAGCACAAGAGGCACTCACAGCTAGAATGTGCCAGATCTGGGACTCAAAGCCAGCTCTACCTCACCCCAAGGTTTACGCTTCTATCCCCTGTATGATGCTAATCTGTGGGGGACTGGTTAGGAGGGAGGAGTCAGGGGGTGATCAGAGGCTGGCAGCCCTCCAGCCTCTTCACAGGGTGGCGGCCTTCTCTCAGGCTCTCCTGTGCACTACAAATGTCCAGACACTCAGCACCTGGAGCACAGGCTGGTCCTGGCCCACTCAGCCATACTTCCTCTTAACTTCTTCCAACCCTCTCACTCTCTCCCTGCCGCCTTCTTCCTCTCGTTTCAGCATCTCTGTAACCTCTTCTGCCCATTAGCCCACGACATTAGCCCATTAGTCGCAACAGCGTGGGGAGAGAGGCCAGGGACACTGGGGTCAAGCTCAAGCTAAAATCTCGGTTCCATCACCCACTTAACAGCTGTGTGGCTCTGGGTGAGTGCCTCGCACCACTCTGCACCTCGGTCTCGTCCTCTGTAAAGCCAAGATGACACTCTCTGCTTTCACCAGGCTTTGTGAAGATTAGAGTGGAGGCCAATAAACATAAGCTCCGAGGCACAACAGGGAGTGGCTTCTCGTTCCCGTTTTACAGATCAGGTAGGTGAGGCCAGGTATGGATGTGAGAGCTGGACTATAAAGAAAGCTGAGCACCAAATAACTGATGCTTTTGAACAGTAGTGTTGGAGAAGACTCTTGAGAGTCCCTTGGATGGCAAGGAGATCCAACCAGTCCGTCCTAAAGGAAATCAGTCCTGAATACTCATTGGAAAGACTGATGCTGAAGCTGAAGCTCCAATACTTTGGCCATCTGACGCGAAGAACTGACTCACTGGAAAAGACCCTGATGCTGGGAAAGATAGAAGGCGGGAGAAGGGGACGACAGAGGATGGGATGGTTGGATGGCATCACTGACTCGATGGATATAAGTTTGAGTAAGCTCTGGGAGTTGGTAATGGACAGGGAGGCCTGGCGTGCTGCAGTCCATGGGGTCGCAAAGAATCGGACAGGACTGGCTGAGTGACTGAACCGACTGAGGTGAGGCCAGGTGAGTCACAAGAATGGTTACCATCGTGTCTGAGTGCTGACCTAGCATCAACTGCTTTGTTAATGGTTCACTCTGTTAAGCACCTCTCTGAAAACGGTGCTGTGGTGAGGAGACCACGGCAGAGGACTACCATCTCCCCGGGTATCCCGGCTCCCAAGGGAATGGGGAGGGAAGAGCCCACGCCGTCTGACTCCAGGGCTCATGCCCTTAACCTCTGAGCCACACACAGCCTCCCCTGGGGGCTGGAGGTGGGTTGCGGCAGTCCCATGGGACTCCCTGCCTGTCCCTTGCCACTTTAGGGCTCACCTGGGGCCATCTCGCTGCCAAAGACGAGGGCCCGGGCCTGGGAGGAGGTCAGGCAGTGGAGCAGCGCGTCCCGCCGGAGGTTGGTGTTGATGAGTGCCGCCTCCACGCCCAGTTTGGCCATGCCCAGCCACAGGCCCACAAACTCATTGCGGTTCTCCATGAAGAGGGCGACCACGTTGCCAGAGGCCAGGCCCTGCGCCTGCAGGAAGTTGGCCACGCTGTTCGAGTAGTCGTCCAGCTGCCGGAAGGTCCAGTGCGTGTCTGTGCCCTCGAAGATCAGGGCTGTCTTGTCCGGGTGGCGCTGGACTGTGGCAGCGAACAGCATGGGGATCGTGCGCCGCTCCCGTAGGTACCGTCGGACCTTGGCTTTCACCCTCAGGAGCACGGTGCCGCCGCTGGGGGAGGGGAGGAGGAGCAAGGAAGCTGTGACTGCTGGGCTTAGGAATAGGGGGTCCCGAGACCCTTGTCTGATCGCTTGCGACACCCCCTTCCTAGCACCCGTGTGTGGGGCAGCGTTACCTGTAGTGACTCACTGATGCTGCATGCTAACACCAGGTACCCAGGCGATGACTCCCTCCCCGCCTGGTACAGAGGAAGACACTGGTGCCCAGCACTTGCCCCGGGCTTCAAGGTGGGACGACGTGGCAGTGCTGACATTTGAACTTCAGTCCCCTCCGACTCCAGAGTTCAACCCCTTTTGCCCTCTAAGCTCTGCTCTGAGTCTGCAGCTCTGTCAGGGCCTTCCACGACTCCAGGGACCAAGCCAAAGTCCAAACTCCTCGTCCTGAACCTGGCACACCTCCAGATCATCCATCTTCCCCTCACCACTCCAGTAAAAAAGGACAAGTTTGCAATTTGTCCGGTTTCCCTCCCTGTGGGCCCGACAAGGGTGGGGCTCTGTCCTGCCTCACCATCTTGCTCCCAGGCCCTGCTAGGTGCCAGGCAGGGCACTGACATTCAACAGATGTTTGTGCAACAAGCCTTTGGCAACATCCCCCTGCCTTGCCCTGCCACCTCAGACCCCTGAACTCTCCTGGCTCCCCAGCCTCTCTGCCTTTGCTGCTGCCATGCCCTCTGACTGGCGCCCCCTGCTTCCACCTCCTGGAGGTGACTCTCAAGCACACCTGCTTCTCCTCTGGGAGGCCTCCTCTGATTTCCCAGGGCCCAGGCCTGAAGCCGTCTCTCTCTGCTTCACGCCCCCACAGCTCTGGGCTGCTACCATCCTTCCCGCGGTGGCGATTCAACTCCTTTTGCAATCAGCTCAGATTGACAAACGCTGAGCTGCCTGTTCTGGGTGCGGGTCACACTGCTGGGACACTACCATGAGCAAGACAAGACTGCCAGGGTCTCTGCTCCCAGGGCCCTAACAACCTGCGGGTTTTCTGTGTCCTCTGCCGGTCTCCCTGACCAGTCTGAGCCTGTTCCAGGCCCAGGACTGCCCTGTCCACTCAACCCCACACCCAGTCAGCCCAGCGTCTGGTGCAGAGCAGGTGGCAGCCAGGGTTTCTGGTACAGGATATCCTCCTTGTGGGCCATATCTGCCCTTCTTTGTGGAGCAGCTTCTTTGTGGGCATGATTCAGGGTCTGCTTGAGAACCCACGCCGGCCGGAGGACAGGGACTTCCCCACAGGGTTCCTCTTCACCCTCTCACAAGCTACAGCATCTTCTTGGGACCCCTTACTGAGGTCTCCTCAACATGCCTGGTGTTCAGTGTATGGACCAGACCCCCAAGTCTGCTCCAGGCTAAGGGGCACCAGGTTAGGGAGATTCCCTGGGAAGAGACTTTGACCGTGGCAATGGAGGTATCATGTACTATTGTGAGGGGAAGGATGCGGAGAAAAGACTGCTCTTTTGGGGCCCAGGTGCCCTGTGCTGGTAGAGGCCATGTAGTCTGGTTTGGAGAGATTAAACCCAGAAGAGTGTAGGAGACCCAGGAAGGGCTGTACCAGGTACTCACAAGACATCACGCCTGACAGTCTTGATAAAGATTCGGATGAAGCGCCAGCCGCCAGACCCCAGGTAGAGGAAGAACAGGGAGCACCCCACTTGGGTCCAGGGCAGTTTCAGCACCAGCCAGGAGAACAGCAGCACCCCCAACAGAGACGCCCCAAGCAGCATTGTGGCCTGTGGGCACAGGGCGGTCAGTGGACCTGAGTGCCTGGGTCCCCTACCTCCTGGCCCCAGGCAGCCAGGCCACTATCATCTCAGATGGTCAATGTGCAGTGGGGTCAGATGGACCAGGGTAGCTGAGGACTGGGTCCCACCCCAGGACAGTCTGGAAGGGTCAGGCTAGAGGCCTGGACTTGAGGTGAGGAGCTGGGTTGTGGGTCAGAGGCTGGTTCCAGCCTCCCAGTCCCATTTATGCCCTGGACTCTCTGAATGATCTTGGACAAGTCCCTTTCCCACTTTAGTCCTTAGTCTTCTCCTCTGTGCAATGGGTATAACGAGCATTGGTCTCAGAGGACAGTCTACTCGCCTGACATCTAGCATCCCAACCAAAACAGCTTGGTATTGACTTAAGTGCCTCTGGCTCGACTTCCCACTCTGAGACCTAGGGAGTTTCTGTGGATGATAAGGCCAAGTCACAGCACCCAGAGGCGCAGCTTCTTGGGAAGGGGCCTTGGTCAGTCCCTGCCCTTAGGCCTGGGAGCACCATGCCTCTGCTGGCCCACAGGGGGCGATGGAGAAAACAGGCAAAAGCCTGGAGGTGCCAGAGAGGTGATCTCCCAGAGGAGAAAGGTATTGAGAGGAAGAAGGCATTGAAAGCACCCCACAAACACACTCAGCAAGCCACTCTGATGACTCTTCGGGGACTGGGGCTTAAGGGAGGAGGAAGAGCTGGCAGGGCTGAGATTAGGGCTCTCGGACTCTATTCCTAGCACTTTACAGACTTGCTCAAGGGACAGCAGAAGGGGCTGTTGGCCTTCAGGCTCTCCTAATCCTGGGGAGGGGCTGAAGGTCACGGCTATGAGGGAGCCTGAGATCCTCCAAGCCAGGATGAAGACATGGTCCGGACCCTTTGACCATCTCCCCCTCCTCCACACGAAACGCAAAAGCCAGGAGGAGGACTGCACCAGCGCCTGCAACTTCAATGCCCAAAGTCTCCAAGGTCTCCAGAACTGTGGTCTCCCAGAGTCCGTCAGGGCAGAAGGCAAAAACCCGTCCCGAAAGCCTGAGGGTTGTGGACGAGGAAGGAATGGGATGCCCGGGGCCGCGATCCCGGGTCACTATGGATCGCACCGGCCCCTAAAAAGCCGGGGTAACAGAGCGCCCGGCAAGGAGACAGAGCAGCAGGGCGCGCCCCGTTTCCCCTTCTTCTCCGCCCCCAGCCCAAGCCGGTACTGCCACCTCCCCCGGACTCGACCGAGCACAGTCTCTCGCCCGGAGACCCATTGTTCTGGCCTGTGCTCACCTGGCGTCGGCCCCCGCCGCGGGGCACCTTGTCCAGATGCGGCCCGCCGGCTGTAGCAGAGTAGGGAACGCGGCGCGCATCAGCCGCTCCTGGGCGCGCGGGTCAGGTTCTCAGCAGCGCTTTGCCGGCTTTGCGCCTCGCCTGGCCCGGGCCACTCGGCCAGCCCCGCCCGCCCGCCGCGCTCCTCCCCCCGCCCGCCTCCCGCCATCCAAACCGGCTGCGCCGGCCGGCAACACCTCCTCCGGCGCCTTGCCCACGGGCGAGCGAGCCGCAGAGCCGCCCGGTGCAGCGCAGCCTCTGAGCGCCGGGCGCCGCCGGACTCAACCCGCCCCCTACGCGCGCGACGGCCTCGGGAGGGGCGCCGCGCCGCACGCTGGGGATTGTAGTCCGCGCGCCGTGCGCCCCCGCCAGGCCGGGAGGAGGCAGGCGGGCTCTTCCTGGACCCCCCACTCCCCCCAACCCGTGGGCGCCCGGACGTGGGGGAGGGCACCCCCACCCCGACTGCACCACTGGCGAGGATTCCGGGAATCCGCGCCCAGACACTGGCAAAGAGTTCGGCAAAGGCCCCCGCGCCGCACCTAGAAGGGCGCTAAAAGGGCGGGTGTTCAGGCAGAGGTATGCCGGCGCGGGGGAGGATGAGCAACCGGCTCTGTGGCGCAATGGATAGCGCATTGGACTTCTAGCCGGCCTGGGTGTGGTTATTCAAAGGTTGTGGGTTCGAGTCCCACCAGAGTCGAATTTTGACGGCCCCTTCTTCACTTCCATTCGGATATTTTGTGGCCTCCAGTGCCGTAAGGAGGAAGGACTGATGCTGAAGCTGGACAACTCCAATACTTTGGCCACCTGATACGAAGAAATGACTCATTTGAAACGACCCTGATGCTGGGTAAAGGTTGAAGGCGGGAGGAGAAGGGGACGACAGAGGATGAGATGGTTGGATGGCATCACTGACTCGATGGACGTGAGTCTGAGTAAACTCCAGGAGGTGGTGATGGACAGGGAGGCCTGGCGTGCTGCCGTCCATGGGGTCGCAAAGAGTCGGACACGACTGAGCGACTGAACTGGACTGAACTGAGTGCCATAAGGTTCAGAAGCACCCCCACGCTCCTGTGGCCCTCAGGCTAGCACCAGTGCTTCTGGGACGGCAATAAACTTGACACCCGGAGTGCTGCGTAGGAACCCTTTGCTATCCTTGCTACCTTGAAAGCAACCTGGCAGTAAGTACAAAGGGCAGGGGCCTGGAGACCGCTATAAATCTTTGGCCCCTGAAGAGAATGACCACATTTGTCGTGACACCTGCCCAACCCTGGGCCCCCTGCCAACTTCCCCGCCCTGTGTCACTCTGGACCTCTCAAAACTGGCCTCCTTGATAATGAAACCTGTTGGGCATCCACAGTTGCCACTTGTCGTTAAATAGACCCCTTAATCCGGAGAGAGGTTCCAGAGGAAGGGGACACATGTACACCTATGGCTGATGCATGTTGATGTTTGGCAGAAACCAACACAATACTGTAAAGCAATTATCCTTCAATTAAAAATAACAAGTTTTTCTTTTTTAACTTAAAAAAGATAGATTCCTCCTTAATCCCTTATTTCAGTCCAAGTCCTTCAAAGTGAGGAGGGACAATTTTCAGAGCCTGTTGATAGAAACAAAAATGAAAATTTGGGGGACTTCCCTGGTGGGTTAATGGCTAAGACTCCAAGCTCCTGATGCAGAGGGCCTGACTTCAATTACTTGTCAGGGAACTAAAACCTGCATGCTAAAAAGATCTTGCATGTTGCAAGGAAGATCCTGCATGCTGAAACTAAGACCTAATGTAGCCAAGTTTTTTTTTTTTTTCCTATGAAATTTCGGTCTGATAAGTACTTGGATCTATTTCTTTCAGAGTACAGGATGCATCCTTTTGGGGGACCAAGGTATATAAAAGCACCACTTCTCCCTTGGGTATGACATTCGGGAGGCAGTGTGGTGCAGTGGTTATGGGCCTAGGCTTTGGCATCCAGCAGACCTGGGTCAACTTCTCAGTTGAAAGTTCAAAGTTTCCTTTTCTTATATGTAAAAATCAAGACATGCTAATAGTGTTCACCTCAGAGGGTTGGTTTGGAGAGTCACAGGGAGCATCTGAATTAGCAGTTGACATTTTTATTATTGTAACTTATAGGCTTGTTGACCACAAAGCACATACAAAACCTGGACCTGAAGATTACCTCTAATTGTATTCACAGGTCTTAGTGAATAACAGAAGCTCAAATAAATGCTTGTTGAATGAATGACACAGAGAGTGAATTGGAGGCCTTGACCCAGGGGCACTAGTAGTAAAGAACCAGTCTTCCAGTGCAGGTAGATGTAAGAGACAAGGTTGTCCCTCACCATGTGCTCACTGTACTTCAGTCAACACCCACCACACACACGTTACTGTGATTTAGCTTCTTTGCTTTCTGGTCAGACACACCTGAGTTGCCCTCCAGACCAGCTGTTCTGCATGTGGTGAGGGACAACCTATTCAGAGAAGAAATAATCTCTGCCTACCCACCTCGGTGTGTCCAGCTAGGCTATATGCCACTTTAGGGCAGACTGTCTTGTTCTTCTAGGTCCCCTGGCATCACCCCCCTCAGGCCAGGTACAGCTCTGGCTTCACCAATGTGTCCAGAGTGGAGGAGATCCATTTCTGGGGGGTTCTTAAGAAGGGCAAGCTGGATGCTGTGGTTTGCAAGACCTGCTGAACAGAGGCTGATCTCACAGCGGGCTCCTTTTCACTGACGTGCCCCCCCATCTGCCCTGCGTTGGGGAACTAACATCAGCACTTAAATCTCCAGACTTAACAGAGATGGACATAAAAACTCATGTGAAGGAATGAAACCTCCCCTGGGGGCTGGAGTGGTTTGGCCTCTGCACAGCAGAGGTGCTTACCCCAAAGATGTTCAGCTGTATTTGGCATTAGGACCTCGGAGCTGTGTTAAGTCCTCCTACTTGGAGTGTGTGCAAAATACCTGTGGCTGGACTATGGACACAGTGACTTCAGAGGAGGCCTTGAAGGGCCGTCATGGGAAATAACAGCTTCCACATGCTAAATTCTTACTCTGTGCTAAAGTATTACACTTGCACGATGGTCCTGTTGTGGGATAGGCCTGTATTCTCCCCATTTTACAGATGAGAAAAACAGAGGCTCAAAGGGTGATGTGATTACTACAAGGGCGCAGGGCTGGTTGGTGCCAGGGCCAGATCTGTCTTAAGAGCCTGTGCCCCCCAAACACAGATGGAGGGAAAGGGAGCTTCCCCTTGGCTATTGGGAGAAGACACAGGGCCTGCACATCTCAGGACAGGCTCCATCACACCCCAGCCATGTGACCCTAATGCAACTCTGTAGCCTGCCACGCTCCTATGTCCATGGGATTTTTGCAGGCAAGAATAGTGGAGTGGGTTGCCATTTCTTCCTCCAGGAGATCTTCCCAACCCAGAGAGCAAACCCGTGTTTCTTAAGTCTCCTGCATTGGCAAATGGATTCTTTACCACTGTGCCACCTGGGAAGCCTCGAATTTGAGAACAGTAAAACATATACTTCTGCTTCATTTACTATGTAAAAAGCCTTTGTGTGGATCACAACAAATTATGGAAAATTCTTAAAGAGATGAGAATACCAGACTACCTTACCTATCTCTTGAGAAACCTGTATGCCGGTCACAAAGCAACAGTTAGAACCTTACATGGAACAATACACTGGTTCAAAACAGGGAAAGGAGTACAACAAGGCTGTATATTGTCCTCCTGTTTATTTAACTTATATGCAGAGTACATCATTCAAAATGCTGGGCTGCACTCTCACCACTACTATTCAACATAGTTTTGGAAGTTTTGGCCACAGCAATCAGAGCAGAAAGAGAAATAAAAGAAATCCAGACCGGAAAAGAAGTAAAACTTTCACTGTTTGCAGATGACATGATCCTCTACATAGAAAACCCTAAAGACTCTACCAGAAAATTACTAGAGCTAATCAATGAATATAGTAAAGTTGCAGGATATAAAATTAACACACAGAAATCCCTTGCATTCCTATACACTAACAATGAGAAAACAGAAAGAGAAATTAAGGAAACAATA